CCGAAATTTCTCTATAGAAATTTTGGAAACAATTTTTCAGCCCTAAGGGTTAAGGCTGGCCGAAATTCTCAAGAGAAAAAGGAAGGAAAAATTTTTCTCCAAAAATTCAACATCGTGCATGCGATGGTGTTTGTGAAAATTTGAGTGTTTATTGTAACCCGTTTTGTCTCATGTGTGCCCACACACACGTCTTCGTGGATTATAAGAATTGAAGTGGAAGACATTGGTTTTCTAAACACAAAGATTGAAGCAAGGACTGTTCGTGGTCAGAGAACTCAAGTTATCATCCGAGTCGGCTTCCAGGTATTTTTCCTGATTGAGTTCTTGATAAATGAATTAATGAGAATAATTTATTCGTGCATAAATTAATATAATCTATAGAATATCTCAAAAGTTTTATGAAAATTTTTGTTATACACGATCCGCCTCTTCCCCACCGCACCACCGCGCTTCCGCAGCCGGATTCGATTCGGCAACCAACGGTTTGGTAGGAGACAAAGAGAGATGTGGATTTAGTGAGGATTTTAAATCCTTTAAGAACTCCAATTTCAATTAGGTAATCCAAACTCCATCTAATAATCCCCACAAACTCAAAATACTAACTCTTTGTTTCTTGTACCCGATTTATCTGCTTGGCTTTATATTTTGGAAGAAAAACTTCATTCAATCCTTGGTGTCATTCCTCAGTTTTACCATAACGCTTGTAGTTTTATAAGGATTTATCCCCTGATGGTTTTATCTATAAGTTTTGCTGTCAGAATAAGCAGGACAAGTCACAACATTCAACGTATGTGTACATCCACTTGCAATTTCCTTTAAATTAACGAAAATAACTATACTTGTAATTTTGATGACGATTGTAGTTTTTTTTATTTTTTTTTATTTTTGCTTGGACTAATGAGAATTAATTTAAAAATTGACAAAGTGAAAAAAGAAACATGAAGGGTAAAGTAATAGTCTCTGAACCCGGAATAGAGAAGTGTAAATCTTTCTTAAATGCTTTCTTTAGAGTGCCTACCAAGAGCTATTTTTATTAAGTGGTGAGTCGAAAAATGCCAAGAATGAAGAGAAGTTAACTCAGGCAACAAGCAAGAAGTTTGGACTGAATGACAAATATGCAGTGATATATTTTATGAGAACGAGTTGAGAAAATAAGAAAAATTACCTGCAAATTTATGGCTTTTCTACGAAGATCGGTCGGCAAAAGAGGACGTTGAGGGTACTTCTCATCCAAATACTAGATAGTTTCAACAATCAAAAGTTAATTACAGCACAGGCTGAGAACAAGGAGCATATTTAAGTTTGCTTTGAGAAAATAGATTCTCACCAATAAGATGGCAAAAGAGTCAGCCAACACCATATCCCCATCCAACAGCACCGGCACAAACCCAATTGGATTCAGTTTCAAAAACTCTGCTCATAGTCAATCCAAATACCACACAAAACAAACGCAATTTTACTGAAATCCCCTCAGAAAAAGAAATGGCCAATTTCAATTTTGACGCCTGAACTATGTTCCTTCTCCCAAATTGGCCCCGAATTTCAAAACATTAACAAATCACACCTTGATGTATGAAAATTCCCACATTTGGCTCTTTTGTCACAAAACATTAAGCATGTAACCCCAATATACTTAGTTAATAAAGCGCAATTCAGACAAATAATGCTAAATTTAACCCTCACGCGCCTGATTAGCCAACGAGTTATCTTTCCCTTTAATTTTTATTTTATTTTTTAAATTTTTAAAAACTTTCATCCATATACCATTGATGAACTAAGCATATACGAGTGTCAGTGCGTGACATGATTAATTCTATCGAGTTTTTAACAATTTTAAAATGTAAGGGCCAATCTGGGACATCATACATCAATGTCCAATTTGTAACCTTTTGAAATTCGAGGGCTAAAATAATGCAAAATTTGAAAATTAATCAAAAAACAAAAAACAAAAAACATAAAGATTCACTGATAGTTGGATCCAACAAAACCTGGATTACGTTGCTCTCCCTTCACTATGTTCACCGCTCTGTACTCATACTTAAGCCCTATAATTTATATGAAATCAATCAAACTACAAACTTCTGTATTTTTTTTTAATTTAAAAAAAAAAAAAAAAACTACAAACTTCTGTTTTTTTTTTTAATTTAAAAAAAAAAAAAAAAAAAAAAAACAGACGGAAAAAGAAGTGATTACCTTTCAAGCTGAGGGCGATTCTGACACGAAACGAGCAAGAACTTCTCCAGTAAGAGTAGAGCTTCAGATTCGGTTTGTCTTCTCCACTTTCCTAATTTCACCGATTACTGATTAGCATCTATTCATTCATTCATTCAAAGGAGCTGCGATTTTGTGCAAGAGAAACAGAGAGAGAATACAAGAAAATGAAGAGGAAAAAGTTGCAGACTTTACCATGGAGGCGCCAAAACTGCAAAGTGCAAAGGAAGTTTTGATGAGAAGATTCAGTTGGCGCTCGCGCCAATTCCACTCTCTTCTTCTTCCCTCGAAGCTTTTTCAGTTTTTCATCATCTTTCTCTTTCCCGATTTGCCTTCCCTTTATTTTTCTTTAATTTTTTTTTGGGATAATTTTGATTAATTTCATAAATGGCCCGCAAAGACCATTTTTCACATTGTCCCCCGACCTTTTTTAAAAATAATTTTATTTTTAATAAAAATTGCAACAGTAGTAAACGAAAATAATTTAAAATTTATAAGATAAAATAATAATTTTTAAAATTTAAAAGACAAACTTAAAATAATTTTAAAATTTAAAGACATCATTGACAATAATCCTTTTTAGGATAATTTTGATTAATTTTGTAAATGTTCCTGAAAGACCATTTTTTCACAATGTCCCCAACCTTTTCTAAAACTATTCAAAATAGCCCTTAAGTTTTAAGTCAGACTATAATTCTAATGGTTTTGCTAGCATTAAAAAATAATTAAAGCCCATTGAATTCTAAATAAATATATATACATATTACTTTTAATTTTGGGTATTCTTCTAGTAGGACATTTTTTAATTATAGGTAAGTATTATTATTTTAGGCGTTAGTTAAGTTTTTAATAATTAAATTTGTAATTATACTAATTTTATATCGTATGTTGTAAATTTTTAACATTAACTCTTACAAATAAGACGTTAAAGGTACCTTTCCGAATTCTTGCCAAAATTTTCTCACACCAATTAGAGCAACTCTAATAATACTAACTTTTTTTTTTAATCAAAATGGCTAATGATTTAGTTTTTTTTTTCTTTTTTAACTTTTCTCTACTCTAACTATTAGCTAAATAGTTAGCTATTTTAGAGAATGTCTTCCACACTAACTAAATATAAGTAGCATAAGGAGACTAGACATTTTATTTTTTTGTATTATTTTATTCTTTCAACCGTAATAAATATAAAAATTCTTTTATAAATTCAATAAAATTATATATATTATAAATTTAATAAAATAATCTATATTTAGCTAAAATAGAGTATGGTTGGAGTAACTTATTAAAAAATTACTAATTCAAATAGCTTTTTAGCCATTTTAATTAGAATTTAACTAAAATTTTGAGAATTTGCTTAAAGATGCTCTTAATCTTCCCTACATTTGGCCAATGAACCCAAGAACTCTCATATGCACGTGCAAAATCCACTAACATTTTCTTCAGATGACAACCAATTCTTGTCAATTCCTCAACAATTAATCGTTCGACAATTTGTTCTTGTCTGTTTTAAGACCTTTTATAAGGAATCCCATTAAAATAATTCCAATAACTTCCACATGCCATTTTTCATCCACATTTTCACAAATTTTTAATGGAAGGATTCAATGGAACGTTTTGGATGTCAAAAATCAAAACGGAATTAACTCATTAGTTCATGAAGCGGAAATAAGATTAATCCTAAATTCATTTACTCGTTTTGTTACTCGAAGAGATTCATAGGCAATTACAAGGAAAGTTTGTTTTTCCAATTTCAGCAAAAAATGTGAGAAAATATCCACAAATGTCCCTTGAAATATTTACAAAAACACCCAACTTGGCTCTTAAAAAACAATTATGCTTTGTAAACCAATTCAGATTTGCGAGCCTACTTGTAGCCCTAAAGAAAGACAACATGATCACCTCTGTTGTATCTTTATTAAAACAATGTCCAAATTGTTGCATTCACCAAAAAAAGAAAATGAAGCAAATGTTAGGAATTAGATGTTTTAATTTTATATTATTGAAAGCAATAAAATCAGAGATAATTAAATCAAATAACAACAAATGTGTAAATATTTAGAGGTTCTATTAATATAAAACGACGTGCTCTTTTAACAGTTTTTTAATATGATGAAGAAGAGAAATATTTACAAGTGAAAAATCGCATACCTCACAACTCTCGTCTTCTCTAATTTATCTAATTAACTCAAAATCAACGGACCCCATTTTGCCTTAATCGATCCGTGAATTCTACTTTATAAGGCAATAATCATTATAATATAATTAGACTCTACAACTTAACAGTGAAAATGTGCAAAGTTTCGTTACTGCACAGTTCTTCATGGGAGCAGATCTGGAGCATGAATTTTCTTAAAAACAAAGCGGAAAAAAAAAAGCACGTGGCATGAATAATCGTAAACTTCATAGATGGGAATTTCTAATAGTTAGAGATTAGAGATATTAAACAAACGTTCGAATAAATTACATCTTATCCACATGTGCCCTCGACAACTTGATCTCATTTATCAAAGGTAGAAAAATTTGCCCTGGACATCTATTTCAGCGAAAAGAAACATTATAAATCTTCTCTTCAAGATGAAAACGATTTTGCTAGTATTTTGCCGACTTCAAAGTTGCTTTATAGAACTTAATACTAGTGATTTTATTTTTTAATTAAAAAATAAAATCGCTAGTGTTAAGTTATACACATAAACACACACACACCTCCTCTCGGCATGGGAAGGCCAGCACGACCACTTTTATCGTATCCCATTGATCTCTCGCCGGTGATGGATGAATACATGTACGTTGGCTTCTCCGCTTCAACTGGTTTGCTCTCTGCTAGAACGGGCCGACCCGGCATGGTCCAGTCCATTCTACTTAGACCCACACGGACCGTAGGTTAGGTTGGTCCAATCAATGATTTTTGTGGGTTAGCTTAAAAAAGTATATAGACCAAATTTTAGTTATAGAAATTAATTGGCTATAACTTATCAAGTTATGGTTTATAACCAGATAAGTTATGGACAAACTTGTTAAGTTATGGTTCATAGCCAGAAAAGTTATGGACAAGTAACTTGTCAAGTGATGGTTCATAACCAGACAAGTTATGGACGAAAACAATAATTTAACATATTTATTAACTTATGTAAACTATTAGCCTATTAATTTTAATTCATCTCAAGTCTTGACCTATTTTCCTCTTTCTCCCTAAATTTTGACTCAGTCCACACTATAAGTTAATTTTTCGTGGGTCAATTGAGCCACGTGGGCCAACCCATTTGAGTCCATCAACAAGTTAGGATGGGTAGACTCATCATGGGTTTAAATGGGTCAATCTTCAATTTTTAATTTTTCTTAATATTTGTTTTTAAATTTCTAAACAAGTTAATAAAAGTCTAAATAGTTAATGAAAATATGAAAAGAGATATCTATTTACGACCGCCTCATTAAAATCTTTCTAAGAAAAACCTTATGTAATAAAATCTTAATAAGAAAAAATGAGTACAGTCAGGATAATTATATATAAAATGTTTATAAAATTACTAAATAAAAATCAAACAAATAAAAAACATAAAAAGCCTGATATGTTAGGCCTTGCAGAAGTTATTCTCCAATCACGAGTGAACATAGCAAAAAGTACATAATGATATATATATATATATGAAATTGGACTATAATGAGTCTTTCAGGGACTGGCCCATTGTGGGTCCATATATGCTTAATCAAGTGAGCCTTACATGGGCCGGGATTGGCCGGCCCATGTTGAGCCTATTCGTGCCGGCACGGCCTGGCCCATGAAAATTCATGGGCCGGCCCATGAGCTGAGAAATGGAAGCCCAACCTAACCCATCAATTTTGTTGGGTTGGGTTGTGCCTTGAATAGTATTGTTTCGGGCCGACCTGGCTTGACATTGTATCAGAATGAGCCCGGGCTAGCCCACGGGTCTCGGCCCATAGTTGCATCTCTATCTTTGCTACCCATAAAGTCCATGGCTGGAGCTTTAGGATTGGAGGAAGGGCACCAGACTTGGATCCAAAGAAGCTCCCGATGCTTCCAACGGATACTAATAAGGTAGTGCAACAAAAAGGGTTTAAAGTAGGTATAACTTTAGCTAGTGTCACCCTTTTTATCTGGGCCATCTTTGCTGCTGTTCATATTTTACTCAGTATCCGAGAGGATGAGATTTTTGAAGATTGGGAAGTTGAATATGGAGCTTGGAAATATAAATACTCCGAGCTTTACTCTGCCACTAGGGGCTTTGGAGAGAAGAACCTTGTTGGGTCTGGAGGATTTGGGAGAGTGCACAAGGGGGTGATACGAAGTACTGGGCTAGAAGTGGCTGTAAAACGAATTTCTAACAACTCCCGTGAAGGAACGAAAGAATTCATTGCGGAAATAACCAGCATGGGAAGACTGAGGCATCGAAATCTTGTGCAGTTACATGGACGATCTCCTCCTTGTTTATGATTATATACCAAATGGGAGCCTTGACAAGCTTCTTTGCAAAAATGAAAACCCGAAGAAAAAGCTAAGCTGGGAGCAAAGATACAAGATCCTCACTGATGTAGCTCAAGCATTGCTGTATCTCCACGAAGAATGTGAGCAGATGGTGGTTCATAGAGACGTTAAACCCAGTAACATTCAAATTCGATGCAGATCTCAGTGCAAAACTAGGGGACTTTGGCCTGGCAAGAGCATACGACCATGGAAACAATCCGGAAACAACCAACATCGTAGGAACACTAGGTTACATGGCCCGGAACTCGCAAGAACTGGAAAAGCCACAACAAGCACAGACGTATATGGTTACACTATACTTCTGTTGGAAGTTGTTTGCGGAAGGAGGCCAATAGACCCCCATAAGCCTGCAGCTGAGCTGGTATTGGTGGATTGGGTAAGGCAACGGCATTGTCAAGGTGATATTACCAGAGCCGTTGATCCAACATTGGATGACTATGAGTCTATGATGCAGATGAAGTTGGCCTTGTGCTCAGTCTTGGCCTACTCTGCTCTCATCCCCATCCCGACACAAGGCCAAGCATGAGAAGGGTTGTGCAATATCTACTGCGATATGCAAACCTTCCGACACTCGAGCAGCCCAAGATGATTGTGGAATAGTCGGACAGTTTTCCAGATGAGCCTGATCCTTCCTGTTCTAGGATGACTTCTTCTAAGAGCAATAGCTTCACAAGCTTTGATAAAAAGGTTTCTGCAAGTAAGAGTACAAGCATTACTTTCTAGATTTTTTCTATCCATAAGAAGTGAAAATTGCTACTTTCTCACTGAGATTGAGGACGTTTCCCATGACAATTTTTTTTTCTTCTAAATAAAAATGAATGAGTTTCTCTATGCTACTGTAATTTGCATACTAAATCCCAATGGTCTGCATTTCTGCTCTGGCAACATCTATAGGTCAAATCTAATCCCCCATTCCAATGCCGTAAAAGTAGTGTTGATTAACAAATAAGTAATTTGGCTCACTACTGAGATAAAATCCAGGAATTAGAACAATAAATAGCAACTTAAGAAATCTGTTCAACACAAAAAGCTATGGCAAGGCTCAAAATATCAACATTCCATTTAAGGTCATCTACTCAAGGCCATCTGTTCATACATTAGTTTAAGGTCATCTACTCGAGGCCAACCACAACGAAACTTCAACTTTTCTGACTTTTCTTCGTTCATGACAACAATAAAAGAAGTTCCAGTTGACAAATACAAATAAATATTATCCCAACATAAATGAGGAATCACTGCTGCGAGTTGGAACCAGGTTTTAAATCAACTTGATGCAAACAAATCTGCTTGTGTATCGAGCGGAACTTCTCCTTGAGCCTCTGTATCTGCAAGATCACGAAAATATTTGGTCAACGGAAGATGAAGAGAGTTTGGGCTAAAATTCACAGGTCTAATTAGGAAGAAAAGAAAAATAGTTTGCATACTCTTTTCAGCTCGATTTCTGCATCTCGTTTTCTCTGGCCTAATGAATGTCTTAGATTGCTGATATCGAAAATATTATCCATGTCATCTTCAAAAGCAGATTCTAAGTCCTCCCCGAGTAGAGCAGGCAACTTGTCTACAACTGGCATCAGAAGAAAACAGTTGAACTGCAAAAGAAATACAAAAGTGGTTTAGAACGAGCAGGACAAAAAAAAAAAGGAAAGAAAAGAAAAGGAAGCAAACAAAAACGAAGCAAACTATTAGTAGATCATAGTTTGATTTATCCTTTCTTTTTTATGGATTCAGCTGTTAGCAATCTGGTAATACGTTGCTCCCTCACTCTGAGAAACTAAAGAAAAATAAGCTGACGCTAGAAAAACATGGAAGCAGAACACACCAGGAAAAAAGAAAGATGATATAAGAATAAAGACCGCAGACCGAAGTCAGTCATAGAAATGATAGGTACAAAAACAGTAACCACAAATAACGGACGACACAATATGCAGTAACAGCTAAAGCATTTGTGACGCAAACCTTCAATTCAGCAGAGGCCAAGAAATATTCTCTAATTCCATGAAATATCTGCTGTACCAAAGCATAAACAATCCGTTCAGAGGAAGGAGCGAGCTTCCTATTCCAAAGTGTGCTGTCTAAAAGATCAGCAAGCTTTGTTTCTGTTGTCTGCACAACAGAGGTTGAGTCAATTCCAGAAGCCAGATGACTCAGCTTCACATCTGCCCTCGGCTTTGATTCCTGCTTCTCATTGCCTGATCCATATGACAGATCTTGAGAAAGTCCAGCAGATACAGTAACACCAACAGTGGACTGTTCTGTTCCAGCAAACGAGTCTAAGAACTGACGTAATCCAGCTCGATTCTACAATTTGATACCAACAGATGCATAAGATAATCATAAAAACTGAAGTTATGAATTTAAAATGTATTGGTTTCTTAATCTGGTGAAAACTCAAGGCAGAAACCTATTCATTCAAAGAAATTTTCATGAAAAATAAATCACTGGAAAGATGATGAAAATGATAGTCAAAATTAGTAGAAATGACCATGGATCATCTACCTGATACAAAATGTTTAGATCATATTCTTCAATATATTTGTATGGACAGCTAATTTCAGACAGAAAGGAGATTAATTTGAGTAGCAATAAAAGAAAATATAAATCCATCATTACAGATTAGCCATGACAACCTTGTTGTGAAGAGACCACGTGACATATCGGGTGGTGCTTATTAAATCTTCCATGCATCTACAACAGAAACGTATCAAAGACCTTAAAATTCATCCTAAGCAACAATAACATACACAGATTAGTACAAATGGAAAACAGGATTAATTGCGCATGGGGAACCCAAAACTTCAATATAACACCTGGAAGTTAGAAGGGAGTATCAAAGAATAACAATAAGCACCTCAAGCTTTATTCGTCATCAACTGGGTGTCAAATCGTTTAATGTTTACAAGACACCTAGGTAGAAACAATACTATAAAAAGTAGATTGTTAAATACTTCTCTTCTCCCAACTCCCTATTTTGACAGCCATAGTCCAGCCTGTTCTAATTAAAGTGTCAAACAACCTCTTCCTTTTCCAAAGACGGTTTAATGCGAAAAATGCACTTTACTGACTCCTTTATAGAGACAAAAATGTGAAAGTTATCCGAACAAGTTTTCAATTCCAGTTGCTACAGTAAAAAGCTCTCACAAAAAGTCGCATCTAACTTTTTCTGCTACAGTAAAAAGCTCTCACAAAAAGTCACATCTCAGCTCGAATTAAAAACTCGAATCGTAGAACTAAGCGAGGCCTAACTTTTCATTTCTTAGCGACTAGGAATGTAGTATCAGTATCTTCCAGGCTTGAGAAAATTATAGAAACAACCGATGTCCTTTACATCCTTGAAAAATCTTTCTTTAAAACTCAAAACGAAGAAGTGGCATATTTTGGAGAAGATTATTGTCCATTTGCAGTTGTCTCAAAATCAGAAATCCTTCGTATTCACCAAAACTATGAGAAACACTGATGTTGAAACAAATTAGTTGTCTGCAATATAATCACACAAATGTAGCCATGATAAGAGCCTTACTTTTCACGGCAAGCTCTTTCAGTAGCTTCCGCAAAGTTGTTGTAGGCAGCAGCAACACGTCTGATAAACATGTCATGACCACTTAGATACTCACCATCTTTCTGTTGAATTCAAAGTTAAAAAGAATAATTGAAATATTAAGTGCCAGATATTCAGGAGGTACTCTAAGTACAAGTTATAAATCCCTTCAACAACTAGAGGATAGAGCTCACACCTTTAAAAGATGGACGGAAATTGGAAGCAATCTCTTTAGGATGTGCAAGAGTCTAGAACCTAACTAAACCCACGAACAAAGGAATATCAGTTTTACTGTAGATGGCAACGGGCCACCAAAAACTTTTACTTGTGAAAGGGCTAAAGAGTACATTAGTTGATAAACAAAAACACCAATCCAAAAAGATAAATATATGGATGTACAGGGGTAAACAGATGATGGGATTAAGGAACATTTCTTATCACCTGACAAAGAAATGGTTCAAAGGTATCACGAGCCTTTGCAACAGCTATAACACAGGCTGTCCTGATTAAGGAAAAGAAATTAAGATTAATAAACAAAAGAGAGCAAACCTTCTGCCGATTCAGAAATAATTAGATCTGAAATGAGTTATTTGATGTCAGAAGTACCTCGAATAGTTTGTTCCATCATGTATGTCTTCAACTCCACAAGCATTTACAATTTCTTCCCGCGTAATTGGAGGGCATTTGGTTCCTCCAACAATAAAGCGGAAATCAGCCATGGCACGATGATACTGTGCTCCTCCATATAAACGCATTCCTGCATTCTAAACATTTGGGGCACAAAAGCAAAATGTTGGATGCATAGAGATATGTATTGCCTGATTTATACTCACAATCAGATAAAAGAAACCAGGATTATTATCTGATAAAAATAAACTTGCAAAACGATCTAGAATTTGTCCTTTTCTTTTGAAGAAATAGACCACAGTTTCAGCTATATGCTATGATCTAAATAAAGCGTTATACATGAAGCGCATAGTGTGAAGCAGAAACATGCAAAAAAGAATTTTTTTTTTTTTTTTTTTTTTTTTTTTGGCGAATGCAAACATGAAGAAATTTAGTTGACAGAATATTTGCATAAATGAATAGCTTACAGGTATAAGCTTGTGAGGGATCTGAAGACCATCAATACCAACAAATGCTCCCCCATTGGTTCTCTCATCTTGCAATGTTTCACCTTCAAAACGTAAAATGATAACTTAATATTCTTTTCCAAACCATACTACATGATCAGCACCTGGATATCATTATTTTGAGCAAAAATAGTATATTATAGTCTTCCAAAAGATGACAAGCTACAAATACTGATCCACCACATCCTAAATTAGCCAATGGAAACTGAACAGGAAAAAAAAAAGGAACACTGCCCATGGTGAGTGAAATTAAGGTACTTTACCAAATTTATCTGGAGGTGCAACAACTGTTCCTTTCAACAGCAATGACAGCTGAATAACAAAATATATTAGTCAGCTTAAGCAAACGTGAAACTGCAGCAGTAATAATAATGGCATGTAGTGCATGCACTCTAAGACTTTTAGAAAGTCTGAAAGCGTTGAAACAGTACAATTAAGGCAAAATTGTAACAACAGTTGAGCATATAAACTTGCTTATCTCTTTTCCATGCTAAGATTTTTCCGTAAATAAGAAAGAGCTACAGCAATATTGGTTAATAGCCATAAGAAATTGGCATTACTCGTCAGAAAGAGATTGCCTCAGTTAATAATAACCTTGGTCAAGAACAGATCATCTCTTCCTTTCTCCTTTAGTTTTACTTCATCCAAAGTGCTGCGTTTACACATATAATGGAATACAGTCAGTCAGCTAGTAACATAAAATCGAATGTGCACGCAACCACTAACCATTACAAAACAATTGGGGAAAAAATAAAAGAAGTCAACATAAAATATATCCTCATTGCCCAAACTACACACAACGTACAAGAATTTAAACTATGAAACCCATGTAACTTGGGTAGAAAACTTTTTGGATCAGGTGAACCTCAAACCTGAGTTCTTGATTTATTTCATTCATCTTTCTTGTTGTGCTTCTGTATTCCTTTTCAAGAAGGGGAATGATTGATGGAACGCTATCCATGTACCTGGAAAGATATCCTCTCAAAATTGTACTTGAAAGCATGTGGGTTAAAACACAAAGTAATGGGAATAGGCAAGCAAATATAAAGCCACACAAATTTTTCATACCTCTTCTGTAACAATTCTTCCAAAAACAACCTGAGTTTGCTAACACCTATTCTACTTCTTTCTTGCACTGAAAGCAACCTGCCCAATTTCTCCTCCAATGATGCAACATCTTCCATCTCCCTTAAGGAAATTGCCTGCACTTAGAAAATAAAGATAAAACCTACAGGTTTCAGAGGGAGATTAGTAAACAAGAAATACTTGCAGAAGTCTTAAGCCAATAGTTAAGCATAAACACATAAACACATAAAAGGCAAAAAAAATCTTTTGTTTAAAAGAACGCTCAGTCCTAACTCAACTAGAAACTGCATAAGATAAGATGATAGCTACCCATCAGATGAAACGGATTCAATTTATCACCTTTATTTTTCTTTTTCTTTTTTTTCCTCTTTACCAGAAATGAGTAATTTATCAAATGAATGAAAAAAGATGCAAACGAAAAATGGTAGAAGACGAGCTGTCGCAGCAAAAGAAAGAAAAAAGATGCAAATGAAAAATGGTAGAAGACAAGTTGTCACAGCAAAAGAAAGAAAAAATTAAAATACTGTAAATGCTTCAGGAAAAAAAAAATCCCCATCAAAATTGCATTATAGTAAATTCTTTGTAAAGTTTTCCTACAGTAAAACTACTAGGCGCACAACGGGCATTGATGTACCCTTTAATTAAACTCTTCCCAGCTGGTCAGCTCTTTTACTCAATTATGAGTTGGAACTAGATATCTCCTTGTTGGAGGTACCATTTAACTACTAGGATTGAATGTATATAATAATAAAATGGGTCAAAGGTTGTATGCCTTATCAACAAATGACACAACCCATGAGCTAAATAAATTCAACTTATTTCTAAAACTTCGAACCAATTGAATAAAGGGTAAATTGCACCAGTGCACTGAACTTTTTTAATTTACAAGTTGGATCTCTCAAACTTTTAATTTTGCATCCAAAAACCTACATTTGATCATCTTTGGCAATGCAGTCCAATCAATCAATAACGGACTTCGATTGATAAATGGCAATTTGGGTACCAAATGCCAAAATTTAAAAGTTCAGGGTCTAACTTACGAATCAACAAAAAGTTTCGGATGCATGCATCCCTTAATTGCAGTCTGCAAGCTATTGGACCACAATTGAAACAGATTTCCAAATTTAGGGTCACATTAGCCAAGATTGAAAGTTTGGGCCACAAGTTGCCAAACATGAATGAGTTAAGGGTGCACCAAACCATGAATAAAACTTGAAATATTAAAATATACTCTATGCTGCACTTTTTTCTACCATGATTCTCATTGCTAATGGACAGCAATAGCATGATGACATCGAATATCTCAAGAAAGAAAAGTTAAAAAGATGGGAAATGATGTTAACAACAATGTTTAAGTATAACTGGGGTCATAATAGTCGGATAAAATGATATAGATGATCATAGAAAACATGTATATTTCCTAGAAGCGAGGAAACAAATATAAGAACAAAATGGTAAACTGAATAACCTGTTTAAACTCGTCATTTGATCTATAAACTGAATCGGGCCCAGAACCAACTCTTCCAGAAGGGACAGATGTAAAGAAGGGAGAGTCACCAAGTATGAAGCCATCAAGCGTGCATGCAGGAGGTGAAAGGAATACTTCCACATCTGATGAACGTGCAAACTGGGGTATCTTGGTATCAAGCTTGGTTGAGACAATAACAGTTCTTGAAAGCTCAGGATCAATCTGCAAAGATTCGCAACACAATTCCATCAGCTTAAGCTGGCTTAATGACAAGGATTCAAGTTTGCACACCTCATCTCAAAATTAAAAGCATATAGTCAGACAAAAGTATACAGCTGCTACCGACTGCTGCAAGTTAAACTAAATTTCAAGTTGTGTATTTGCCAGGTACAAAATTAGGAGTTTGTTCGAAAAGCAAGTAGTAATAGCAACAAATAAACCATTATTTTTTTAGTTATAGCTAATAAAATCATTGCTCAGAACTCATGTAACTATGCTCGAGTCATCTATTTCCATACTCATATGTCTCTTTTCTTTTTTCTTATTCCCTTTTCCCTTCTTTTATTTTCTTTCTTTCGTGGTACGTCAAGTTCCTATGTGTCAAACCATTTAAAAGTACCTAACACTCCTCACTTTACTAAGCACAAATGCAGACAAGCTATCAAAATGACATACTTGCATCACCACCCTTCTTGTAGTTGCATTGCTCCAGTCACTGCAATCTTCAAGACACAATATAATAAATTCTTTATGCTGCATTTTTGTTCGGACTAGTGACTCCACTGCACGAGCTTGAGCCTGTCACAAATTAAAATTTAAATCAATCACAACCAATCGGCCACAATAACAAGGAAATAATGGATCTCATGTTAAACATGTTTCACTGATTTTGATGGTTGACCTGTAATTCTCGATTCTTTCGACCAGGAGCAGGAGCAATGAGTCCAGGAGTATCTATAATGGTGAGATTTGGGCAATACTTGTACTCCACGTTAATGATTATTTCTTTTGCGGAGAATTGAGAAGGCTCACTTTCCAACCTCATGTTTTCAGCTTCAATGTATGCCTGCAGGGCACCCAAGATAATGGAGTCATATTATAAATACATCATGACTGTAAGTATTGGAGCCATCAGAAGCTTGAAACGATCTCGAATATAAGTAAATACTCTGTTCTTATCATATTGCTACATACGCCATTAATATTGGAATATTCGTTTCTTTTTCACAGTAGAAGGGAAAGCAACACATCACATGTAACAAGGTTTATGAATTAGAGAAACCACAGCAATAATGCTGGAAAACCACCATAGAGAATTTTAAGATAAGGAAATTCAAATCTTAGTATTGTTTTTCAGATGGCTAGTATCCCATTTACTTGGCCAAAATACAAGTTACAACAATGCAAGATTATCCATTTTTATCGTTCCATTTTATCATTGTTTTATAATATAACGGAATTATCTACTAAATCCATCTTTACATTAATATTAATTTTTACATAACTAAAATATAATTTAAGAAAACCCTTGTTTGCCAAGACAAAAATAATACTTAGTATTAACAGGATTTGCTTTGTCGTTTAGCAACTAGAAAAGACAAAAGGAAAACTCATCAATCAAACGCCGGTCTAAGTTTAACATTTAAAAAAAAAAAATGGAAGCGTTAATGGAACATAAGTAAAGAAACAACCTCTTTTTATTAATAGTCAGTCTTGCACCATAGATTTTTTTTCCCTCGTCATTTCCCATTAAAGGAAAAGGACAAAGAAAAGACAGTTTATCTTCTACAAATAGCAAGCAATTTTTTTTTCTTTTCTATTTTCAAAGCAACAGCCAACTGTTTTCAGAGAAGGAAAAAAAACCGTTGTCAAGTAAAATAATGAATAAATAAATAACTTATCTAATTTGCCCATGTAACTCTCTGTCTTACCATTTCAGTCTAAAAAAAAAAAGAATAATTACTCCAAAACTTCTTTTCCTCTTTCTATGAATTGAACGACACAGCATTACCAAAAGAAAAATAGACATAAAAATTCCTCTATTTCACACTAATCATTCATCATTTGTTGTAGGGTAAGAACATAGACCTATTGCCCAATGTCATTAAGAAGCCCATTAAGAGTACACAGACAACTCAATCACGGTGCCACATCGTCAATATTAAGCAATAACAGCAAAAAGTCGACCCTTTAAGAAGCTTCAAGAATGTTCAAAGGGACGAGGCTTCATGTTGTGCTTAGGGAGAAGAGGCTTCGTCCAATCCTCGCAGAATCGAGGCTTCTCAAGATCAATAAAGTGTTTAAGGAGTCGAGCTTCGTAAGACCAAGTGTTTAAGGAGTCGAGGCTTTACAAGGCTTCAAGAAGTGTTCAAGGAGACGAGGCTTCAGGCTACACCTAAGGCGAAAAGGCTTCGCCCCACTCTTATGAAGTCGAGGCTATTACAAAGTCGAGGCTACAGGAAGATAATGAATCCGCGAGATTTGCTCTAAAAGTCAAGATTTGTATTTTAAATATGAAATTTAAATATGAAAACCGTACTAATTAATTGTAATCTCTATTTTTTAGAAAACTATCCCAAAAAATAAAAAAAATATCTTATAGACTAGAAATTTCCCGAAGTCTTACATTGAGAAAAAACGTATAATCTCTTCTCAAATTAGTGAAATTCTCTTCTCCTTCCCACAATGAATGTAACTCTTAAATTGAGGGTAAATCATTATAAATTTTCATGTGTTCTTATTTTTGTTACATTTAACTTTATTTTTTTGTATTTATATTGCTGTGAATCGCATTAATTTATTTCAAAATTCGTTATTATTTTGTTGACGAAATCGCATTAATTTATTTCAAAATTCGTTATTATTTTGTTGACGAATTTTCATCCAACCATGTTCATACCCCACCACATTCTACAAAAAAGCAAACCAGAAAAATATATAAATTCTAAAAAAAAGGCAATCAAAAATTAAAGCTCTTACTCCAAAATTGGAAATCGAAACAAGAAGCAAAATCACCTGAACTTCCTTGAGCGACTTGTCCTCGGCGAGAGCGGGATCGGCGTCGGAGACGAGACGGCACAACGGCGACTCGCGGTCGGGGTGGTAGCGCATGTGGAGGGTGATGGGACGGCGGGTCTTGGTGCCGCCGCCGACGTGGTTGAACTGGAATCCCATTAGGGCTTCGACGAGGGCGCTCTTGCCGTCGGTCTGGTGGCCGACGACAAGCACCGCCGGCGCGTCGAACGGCGTCTGGAACTCCTGGGCTAGACCGTGGAGCTCGTTGTAGGCCTCGTACAGCGCCGATTTCTCTTCCCATTCTGTCGGCATTTTGATCCCGATCTCCATGGGAGCTTCGGAACTTGGTGAGAGAAAGAGAGGAGATAAGAGAGTATGTGGGAACTGAGGAAAGCTGTTTGAAAGTGGTTTTTGGCTGTTTACGGATGGAATGGACTTTACTCTAGCGCTAAAGATTTCGAATTATATGGCGCGTACACGTGTTTGAAAGACAATGATTTTAACTTTTAAATTTAATTCAATTTTATATTATTAAAAGGAGGAATGATTAATAGCCCGTTTGTTTCTTGTATTTATCTCTGATTCGAATCATGATTCATAGTTCTCTACGATATTTTTTTCTCATAAAAAATACACGTAAAATGAGAATGATTATGAATCATGATTCTGAATATACGAACCAAACGAACACTAACTCTTTTTTTTATTGAAAGGACATTGAAAGGGAATAATGAACTTGTAAACTTCTATTTAGGATGAGTTTGGAACACGTAATTAAAGAGACGTTTGATTCATGGATTAAAATTATTTTTGATTTATGTGTATTTTTTGTGAGAGAAAACACTGTAGCGAACTATAAATCATGATTCAAATCATGGTATGAATTTTCTTACTAAACGTCTCCTAAGTCAGAGATTTTAATTTATTGACGTAAAATTTTATGAGAGTAAATTTTTGAATTTAAATTCTTTATAAGATAGCAAACAAGCCCTTAATCATAATATCATGAGTTAATTTTAAACTAGTTTAGTTCACTGATTCAAGTTTTTAATTTGAGTTGAGATGTAACTTTATATGATAATTTTTTATTGTAGGAAAAAAGTTAGACGTTACTATTTTTTAGAGTTTTTTACTGTAACAAAACTCAAATTATAAACTTGAATTGATGAAATGAACGGGGCCTCCACTTTTATCACCTAAACTATGTAGGTCTCGTTGATTTCACTGATTCGAGTTTTGTTACAGTGAAAAGCTCTCAGAAACAGTCACGTCTAAATTTTTTGCTATAGTAAAAAGCTCTCACATAAATTCACATCTCCACTCAAATTAAAAACTCAAATCAGCGAACTGAACGGACCCGTAATTTATCGCGTTTTAACCTTCAAATTTTAAAACATATCATATCACACCTTTAAATTATACAACTTGTCCCATTTTAATTATTTTGTCATTACAATTTTTAAGGACGTGTTCTTTTCTATGATTTGAGTTGTACATATGAAAAAAATATATATTGTAATAAAAAATTAAATTTAAATTTTTATGATAAAAAATATTGTAATAATATGACTTGAATATGAACATACAAATCTTTCTAAAATTAGACACACAACCCTTTCTCAACTAAATCCTAAAATCATCGCCACTATTTGAGAAGCATATATAATACAGCTATTTCCCCTACTATATTTATGATTTTTCTTTTTCATTTTAATTCGCAAGAATCACAACCCCAATATGACATGTTCACAAGATAAAAGAGTATCACAACCCCAATGTTATACAAACAGTTAATTGAGTAGAAATTTGCGTATAACGTCAATAAAAAAAAAATATGCAAAAGAAAAATGATTAATTTCAAAAATTATTCTTAAATTATATCTCTTGTAACACGTTGTCTCCCGAATTTTAAAACGTAACATCCGCCCTTTCCAAATTTTATTCCGTTAACAAGTTTTTACCATCTGTTATAATGAGTGACGAAAATTCCACGTGTCACTTATTTAGTGAGATTTGAAAGTGTAATTACGCTTATACCCTCATAATCAAATTAGATCTCATAGATTAATCGACAGAATTCACTATCTTCGTTCTTAAAAACCAGTTATTTTTTTTCCTCACCTCGTTCATCCATGGCGAGTTCCTCGTTCATCTTCGTTCCCTTGCCCTGTTTTCCTACCCTTTTTTTGTCTTGTTCGTCGCTACATTGCCTTTCATTCTCTTCTGGTTTCTCCGGCACGCCTATTTCCATACTTAGTCGTGGATCTCTCACTTTCCTTTGTTCTTTGTTGTGGGATATTGGTTCGTTCCATGTTGAAATTCTTGCTTTAATTTAGTTATGCCTATTTTTTTTCCTTTGAATTTCTTTGTAGACAATATTTGGACTCCGTTAAACCCTTTAATCAAAGTCCATATTTTAATACACATTCATAGGGTAATGGGTTTTCTTTCATTACTTGTTCTGTTTCTTTTTTTTCCTTTCTTATTCATCTTTTTTCGTTGGGTTGTTGTCTGCCGTGAGTTTTTTTAGTTACCTTTTGTTTTCCTTTGTGTGTTAAAGTATTTGTTCTTATATGATAATTTTTTAGGACTTCAGCTTGAGATATTGCACTTGTTGGAAATGTAGCCAAGGTTGCTTGTGTATCTCTGTTTTTTTTTTCTTATGGTGGTTGGTGCATTCATCACTACTCCTATTGGAGGAGAAATCAAATGTGCTATATGGAGTGGAGGCGAAGGAGGGGCTGTTGTAATAGATTAATCTTTTTTATTTATTTATGTATTTGAGTTTTTTAATCTATTTTTTAATAACTTGGGATTTTTAAAGAGTATTTTATGATAATATCATCCTCAAATGGATCATTTACATGATACGTGATGAATTTTGTCACTCATTGTAATAGAAGGGGAAAACATGTTAACGGAACAAAGTTCAGAGAGAGTGGATGTTACGTCTTAAAATTTGGAGGGCAAAGTGTTACAATGGTCATAATTTAAGAGGAATTTTTGAAATTAATCCAAAAAAAAAAAGAGAAAAGAAAACTTATTATTTATTGGAGAAACAAAATTTATGGATTTTCCCTCCAAGGTATATTTTGAAAAGATATAAAGCCAAAAGGTTGCAATAATTAGATCCCAAATGAAAAAATAGGAATTATGCTGAAAATAATTGGAATCTTAAAGACACTCGATACACTAAGACGGTTTAAGGAGATATACTATTTAGGATTTTTAGCACAATTATTCTCTAAATTTGCCCTGATTTAATCAATTATTTCGTAGACTTTTAATTTTGACAAACATGTAAAACTATTGCAATGTGCTTTATTTTACTAAATTTATTCAAATTTTTATTACATTTAAATTTTAAGGGATTAAAAGTTAAGAAATTAAAATATTTGTGTTACATTTGAATTAACATGTTGGAATTTTTTGTCAAATGTCTTTTTTCAACACTAGTTTAACACAATTATTGTCAAAACAAAGCATATTGTATGAATTTTATTAGTTAAGGAGCAACTTACCAAATTTAAAAGTTTAGAGGGTAAGTTGCTAAAACCAAACAAATCTAAAGAACAAAAGTGTAGTAATAATAATAATAATAATAATAATAATAATAAAATCCTACTATTTGAGATAGACCGTTAGTAAAATTTCATCTAAAAAAAGCAAGCTATGAATTTTTATGTTTTCCCATGAGAAGTAACACAAGAAAACACGAGAAATTAAAAGCAATAAAAAAAAGGCATGTCAATATTCTGATCATGAGGAGTTCTAATTGTAATAGTTTATATGGCATCTTAATTCAATTATATATGTTCTATGTGCCACACTACTTTGTGCTTATTTTTCTATATCACTTGTTGAAATAGTTCGGAATGGATTTTGGTAATGCAACAAGTACAACACAACGAGATACATTAGGAGGGTGGAAAAGCAATATTATTGGGCCCATTTGGTAACGTTTTTAAAATGATTTTATTTTTAATATAAAAGTAAAAATGAGATTATTTTGAGAATTATTTTGAAACTAATTTTAAAATTGCGATTGGTTCATTTTTTAAGAGATTGTTTTGAGTACAATAAAAATTTGAAATAATGTTTGGTTATAATTATTAATTAATATAATATAACATTGTTGATGAGTATTAGAAAATGAAAACAGAAAAGAGAAAACAACCTTCAACCGTTTTCTAATTCATTCACAAAAACTATTCTTATTGTTCTTTATTTTTGTTTTCATTTTTAAAACATTTGCTAAACAAACACAATTTATAGATAATTTTCATTTTCGTATCTCAAAAGATGTGCAAAAACGTTTTCAAATACACACAAAAATTAATTCCAAACGCACTCATTGTTTCTAGTTTTTTTGAAAAGGAAATTGCATTCAATAAAAAACTGAGAAACATACAAACTGATGCAATGCTAATGACCCATCAGAGAAACAAACGCACACCTGAGACCCAAAAACGGGAGAACCTCGACACACTAATAACGAGCACACTTAAGACTCTAACTGAACAAACTCCTCCCATTGAGGTAGACTTCTGAGCTCTTGAGAGATAGATCACCAACCCTCATAAAGATAGGATATCAATAACACCGCAAAGAAAAAATTATAGCTGAAGCAACAAGTCCACACAATCGAAAAGCATAGAAATGGCCTTAAGCCAATCACTGAAAACTAGCACCAAACAACATAATAAAAGGGAATCGGGTGGAGAAACCACCGCCCTTATTACAAATAAAGGAACTTCAATACAAAAACTAGAGAAAACCGAAGAGATCAAACGAACAAGAACGAGTCCCTCAACATTGAAAATTTGAGAAGCACGGTTAAAACGACGCTGGAAATAGCCTCCCAAAACGACACCGCAAGCACTTAAAACTCAGCGGCGCGTGGGGCACATGAGCCTCCGCCGACTGACGGCGATTGACATACGCGTCGTAGCACCTTCTTCGCCTCCCTCTCAATATCCAGTTCCCGAGGTTTCCACGAGATTACACGGCGAACGCATCCTAAATCTACGGCAAAAGATCGGCGGTCTGTTCCTTTTAAATGGCTCCATTCCGGTTGCTCCTCACACTTTCATTGACATGATCCCGTTTCCAGTGACCACTACGATTTTCTCGTCGAGATTTAAAGGCCAGCAGCCCAGCAAAAAGCTAGAACCCAAATTCTTGTGAAACTCTCATACCCTCTCTTTGTTTCTAGTTTTTAAATTGGTTTAAGTGTGGAAAACTTTTTTTTTTAAATGAAAACAATACCATACCTTATAAAGAATTAAGAATAATATTATTTAAAAGTCAAAATTAATTATTATAAGAGTTTTGGGTGTACTAACAAAATGTAAAATAATGAGATTGAGTTACACTGACCATTAATCACCAAATTATCATTCACCCAAAAAAAGAAAAAAACCAAAATATCAAATATCTATTAGACATATATACTATGGTATATCTGCTAAATAATTCCGTTTCATCAAAGATAATCTTATCTATTTTTACTTTTCGCATTATTAGCTTTATTGGTCATCATAGCCTTTTTTGAAGGGGGAAAAAGGAACTTTATTGGCAATCTTTATCTTTTTTTTTTCCTCTCTATGTATCTATATAATCACGCGCTTATATTTCCCATCCGTCCTAGCTAGATATGAAATCGTTGAAGTTCTAATTTTGTATCTCCAAGATTGTCATGGCCTTCAACAAGATCTCTGTGTTACTGCTGCTGCTGATCACGACTGCCATGGCCGATGCTCGATTCGTTTTTCGTAAGGATTCAGATGCCTTCCAACCTGGTATGAATCTATACAATGCTTTAACTTCTCTCATGTATCATCATCAGAAATAAATGTCATAAATTTCATGATCCTATAACCATATGAAACCACAAAGCCAAGTGTACCTAGTTAGGCGAGAGAACGGCATGATTTCCGCTCAACTTTTAGAAATCATTTTTCCCCTTAAAATTTTTCAAAAATTGTAAAACTTTACTAAAATATATATATTTGTACCTCCACCCAATAACTGAAAAGTATCTGTTATAATTTTTTTTAATTAACAGTCCGACTAATTTTTTTTCTATTACTCGAACCCCTAAAACAGAAATAAATTGGTCGAAATGCTGCAATGACTGCTCCCGCAACGGCGAATCATGCCGATGTCTCGACTATAGAGAGGGTTTATGCCCCCGAGCTTGCACCTTTTGCTCGTGCCTCCATTTCTCTCCGCCGCGCTGTAGCTGCAGAGATGCGATCAAGAGCTGTCCTGCGAAATGCACCGGCACTGAGGCTGAGTTTAAGAGTTTTGAGGTCTTGAACGACAAGAACTAGTACTATATCAAGTGCTTTTGGATATTGCAAATGTCTGCAGCCTATGTTGCGCTCTAAAGTAGCTAGAAAGTTTGGTTGGTTAAATAAGTACTAGATCTTGATCCCTTGCCTTGTTATGTCCGGCCATATTGTATGCGTCCCGGGTGTTAAATAAAAAGGCTTTTAGTATAACTATGAGTATTGTAGCCATTAGTCCCTAAAATTAACAAATTAATACTGGAATTTACCGTAGATACTCACATCCTTACGCATAGCAGATAAAAATTGACATATGGCTATATTAAATGCATGCAAAATGTTATAATTCTCAATTGACTTATAATAACAAAGAAAAAATTTTACATATAAATTTTACGTATAACGCATCTCTTTCTATAAGAAATTTAAGAGCACTTGATTGTCTTTGTTAAATTATAAAAATCCATCATTAATTTTATTTTCAGAGAGCAAAATTGTCAAAAAATTAAAGTTTAGAAACTAATACACTAAAATTAAAAGTTTAGAGAAGAAAATAAAAAGGAAACCTATTAATCTTTCAATAATTCGACTCAAGTGGTGGGGTGAGCAACTACTACTTTTCTATCGTTAATTTCAAGTGTGGGCATGTCACTGCCTCGCTGTAGGCTGGTTTCGTAGAGGAAAATTGAGAGTTAAACTTTTACGTAATTTTATACAAATCTAACAGGTAGATTCTTGTCTCCAACAATCTTTGTAAGATTAGTCCCACGATTAGTAAAAATGAAGTACCGTTGACACACCCGACCAACCAACAATTCACTGCTTTTGAACGAAAGTATACCAATTTATATGCCCTACTGCCTTTATATATGAAACAACTTGCAATGCAAAAAGGAAAAAAAAATAACGAAAAAAGATAAAAGAAAAAAGAATTTGGAAAACTGACCAATACTAAGGACCAAAAAACTAGAGTCGTGAACATTAATTTGGCATTCAAGGGAACTGGAAACAGTGGATTTTGTCCAGTTACATACTTATATTATATTTATGAGCAAATATATGCATGTATTCACTCGAAACAGTACTAGTGTTTGCTTGATCAAATTAGCTGGACAGAAGTTGCTTCACTTTTAAAAAAAAAAAAATGGAAAATTGTTTTGCATTATATTGCAATAAATTAAAAGGAAAAAAAAAACACAGTAAAAATAATGACTTCTACTGATATTAGGGGATTAAAAGGAAAAAAAAAAAAAACACAGTAAAAATAATGACTTCTACTGATATTAGGGGATTAAAAGGAAAAAAAAAAAATACACAGTAAAAATAATGACTTCTACTGATATTGGGGGATATGTATAGTTATTAGAAATGTTAGCATCACTCTTTTTGCCACACTCTGAATTCACTGTTTAACAAACAGTGAATGCATTAGACAACGAATGCAGAGAGTGACATATAGAGCGATATTAGTATTTCTCATATAATTCCTTTTCACAAAGTAGATTTCGCATATACCTATTTAGAGTGATAAGATTGTCTGGAACACAAGACTTTGTCGGGAACAACAAGCACAAAAGCGACCAGGCAACAGCAGAAGAGCAACACAAGCTTAACCAAACGAAACAAAAGCCGAAACCATTTACTCGCAAACTCAGTAATCCTTTTCATTATAATTGATGATATCACGGCATACGACCAACATCCCTACATTGTCACATAATTATATGACCTAAGTTTACCATGTAAAAGCCCTCAATTCTGAAAACAATTCATAAAAGGAAGCTTATCGAAGTATACAAATATGTTTGGCGGGCCTAATAAAATTTTGACGTGCTAATAATAAATATATTACTTAATTTAGAGAATAGAAGTTTCAAGTTTAACAATTTTTAATACTATTCTAAATCTTAAAAAAAAAAAAACTATTTTTTACTACTAATAACAAATGAAATTTCCCAAAGAAATATTACAAGCGAGACAAAGTTACAAACAACCAAACCAAGAATAAAATCTTACTCTCAAAAACAAACAAAGAAGATGTTTGGTAGTTCACCATAACATTTAGGCGTAAGAGTACTCCTATTCGTTCCAACAGCAAAGTGGTCCCGCTAAGTAGATAAGTGAGACCTAACCTAATGAGACCTACCATTTTGTGAGCGTGGGGTTCCCTTTGGATGAATACCATTTTTGTTCCCCAATTGTATGCCTCATCTTGTATATATTCTAGAAGTCAATGTAACCATGAAAATGAGGCAAAACTACCAGTAATGAGTTTCCATGCCCATATTGTGTCATTTCATCTTGACTAATCCTATACTTCCAAAAACCATAACTTGTATTCTATAATAAATAATAAAAGGTAAAAAAAAAACCCTCATTGCTCTTCCACGATAGATTTGGGATTAAAGCTTGTATTTGTTGTTGTTGCTGCTCTTCCACGATAGATTTCTTCAGAATTGAGATTAAAGTACAGTTTATCCCCAAAAATATGCCGCGCAATATTGGACCCATGGTGGTAGTTTGCGTGAAAAGCCCATTCTTAGTTTAGAATTGGGTCAAATCCTTTCCATTCTATTGGTCCGCCCAAGAAATTCTCCTACAAACTATAGAGATGGGGATGGAATAACCAAAAAAAAAAAAAAAAATTACCCATGAAACGTATTAAATCCAAAAAGTCTATTCATATATATATATATATATATATTATATGTCATATTATCATCATTGGAATTGGTTCTCTCTGGACAAAGGCCTTTCTCGTTAAGCTATATATCATAATCTACCTCCTAAATCCAAAATGGGACTTCTACACAGTGAATTACAATGAACAACTCTAACAAAATGAATTCATAAAAAAAAAGAGCAACAAAAAGAAAGTGACGAAAACCCACCTCAAAACTTCCCAACTGCATTAACTTTGAACCTTGTTTTGGTACAAGTCCAAAAGCTGAGGAATGTCTTTGGAATAGAACTCCACATATTTCTTCACAAACTTGTCCTCCACCATATAAAAAGCCGTCCCCATTCTCTTCTTGTCGAAAACGCCCTTCTCCATCAATTTCTTCATCACGGTATATCTCGGCACCATCCTTTTCTCCAAGCTAAGCATAATCGTAACAGGGTATCTCAAAATCTGATCGGGACCCCAACCCAATTCCTCGCTCAAAAACTCCAAGCTCTTCGTCAGCCGCTCGGCGGAGGCGTCCATAGTTCGCGGCTGCTTGATGATCAGCGCCCGAACCTGCTCGTTGGACCATCCCAGGCTCTTGAAAACCTCGATTTTCGATTCCCACTTCTCCTTCTTCATCCCGGAGAGAGCAACGACGCCGCGGATGAACCCCATGGAGGAGGTGTCGAGGCCAATCTCCTTCGCCGTCTTCACAATCTCCGCGAACTCGGCAATGTCGCGGGCGAGGGGCCTCGGCCGGATCTCTAGCATTCTCTCAATGTTCTCCCGGGGAACGCCGTGGGATTGCAAGGTCTCGATGTTGGGCGCCATTGCCTCCGTGAACTGGTGCAGGACCCGGGTGCCGTGGCGGAGCGAGAAGTGGTAGGCGATCTCGGTGCCGGTGGCGTCGCCGCCGCCGCCTCGGCCGCGTAAGAAGCCCTTGAGGAAGCGAATGCAGGGGGCGATGTTACGGTCGATGCTTCGGCTGAGGACGCGAGGGTCTTTGGATAAAATGCGGGCGAGATTGACCCCTCTGATGCCGTTCTTAGAGAGGAAGGCTAGCTTGGGCTCGAGGGTCTTCTCGGGCTTTGAGGAAAGGAGGCGGGGGTTTTTGGTTAAGACGGCGGTGGTGTCGGCGGAGGAGAAGCCGTAGCGGCTGAAGAGGGCGACAACGGCCTCGGAATTGTCTTTGTTGGGGTTTGTGCCGACGGCAAGGGCGTCTGTGGGTTGAGAGAGAGTAGAGAGAAATTTCGAAAATGGGTTTCCATAGATGGTGCTGTTGCCGAGGTCGGTGGCTCTGTTGTATTTGTGGGTGTTGCTTGAAAGGGCGACCAAGATTTGTTGGAGGCGGAACTGGGGTCTGAGGGCGGGGCTCAACATAATCGCCATTTTTAGGGTAAAATCTCAGCTCACAAGCCTTTTGAAAGGAACGAAGGAAGGCGCTACTTTCTTTTCCTCTCTCTCTCTTTTTTTTTTTTTTTTCCTCTAACACTCTTGTGTAGTGATTTTTTTTTTCTTTCTTTTTTTTTTTGCTTGAGCTTGGGTTGTGATTATTCATTGGGAAATTTTTAAATTTAAATTATTTGTGAATTATGTAGGCTTAAATACATGGGGGAATATATTAAAATAAAACATATGAGAATATAATACGATAAATAGTATATTTTTAAAGTTAAATTATTTAAATACTAAATTTAAAATTTATTAAAAGTAAATAATAATTTATAGTGTAAATGTTTTATTTACTACTAGTGAATTTTTTTTTACATAAACTTTCTTTTTACGATAGATAAAAAGATTTTTTTTTACGTAAATAAAGGCTCCGTTTATTTTACCGATTCGAGTTTTGTTACTGTAAAAAGCTCTCAGAAACAATAACATTTAACTTTTTATTACAGTAAAAGCTCTCACGTAAAGTCACATCTCAACTCGAATCAACAAACTAAACGGGCCTAAAAATATTTTATCATATAAATTATTTTTTATCAATAAATATTTACATAGTAAACAACTCTTTATTTTAAATATTTTAAAATTTGTCATACTTAATTTAATTTTTAAAAGGGACTTTCTTTGGCATCAACGTACCGGTAAGTCAAATTTTATCTCCGTCGGATCTGCATAAAATTTAATAAAAGTCAAAAAGTACGCAAATCCAATGGTTAAAAAAACCTGACCTACCGACACGCCAAACATACTTAATAATCTCCCTTTTCTAAAATCACCATTTAATACGAATTTCGTAAAGTATATTTGTCAAACAGGTCCGTAATGATTCGTGAGTTGGATTTATTAAGGAAAGTTCACGGTATGGGTGTTCATTAAATCTTACAATCCATTTAATTTTAGAGTCTGTTTGGTTTATGCATTTAAATAAATGATTCTTGATTTTTACATTTGAAATTCAAATTTTTTATGAGAAAAAAACACTATAACAAAATTAAAATAATGAGTTTAAAGACATGAAAAAAATGTGCCCTTAAATGAAAGTACATGATTTATCATGATTTTATAGAGGTCTATTAGAGAATAGAAGTTTCAAGTTTAACAATTTTTAATACTACTTTAAATCTTAAAAAAAAAAAAAACTATTTTTTACTACTAATAACAAATGAAATTTCCCAAAAAAACTATTTTTTAATACACATTTTATATGCATTTTATCTAATTTTTAGATTGAAATTAGCATTTTCCCTTATAAAGTCAAAATTGAATTAATCAAAGTATATGATATAGTACTAAAAACGATAAATCAAAAAAGAATTAGGCACGTTAATTTCACCTATTCGAGTTTAGAATTTGAGTTTTACACGTCATATTATCATCATTGGAACTCTCTGGACAAAGGCCTTTCTCGTTAAGCTATATATCATAATTTACCTCCTAAATCCAAAATGGGACTTCTACACAGTGAATTACAATGAACAACTCTAACAAAATGAATTCATAAAAAAAAAGAGCAACAAAAAGAAAGTAACGAAAACCCACCTCAAAAATTCCCAACTGCATTAACTTTGAACCTTGTTTTGGTACAAGTCCAAAAGCTGAGGAATGTCTTTGGAATAGAACTCCACATATTTCTTCACAAACTTGTCCTCCGCCATATAAAAAACCTTCCCCAATCTCTTCTTGTCGAAAACGCCCTTCTCTATCAATTTCTTCATCACGGTATATCTCGGCACCATCCTTTTCTCCAAGCTAAGCATAATCGTAACAGGGTATATCAAAATCTGATCAGGACCCCAACCCAATTCCTCGCTCAAAAACTCCAAGCTCTTCCTCAGGCGCTCGGCGGAGCCGTCCATAGTTCGCGGCTGCTTGATGATCAGCGCCCGAACCTGCTCGTCGGACCATCCCAGGCTCTTGAAAACCTCGATTTTCGATTCCCACTTCTCCTTCTTCATCCCGGAGAGAGCGACGACGCCGCGGATGAACCCCATGGAGGAGGTGTCGAGGCCAATCTCCTTCGCCGTCTTCACAATCTCCGCGAACTCCGCAACGTCGCGGGCGAGGGTCCTCGGTCGGATCGCTAGCATTCTCTCAATGTTCTCCCGGGGAACGCCGTGGGATTGCAAGGTCTCGATGTTGGGCGCCATTGCCTCCGAGAACTGATGCAGGACCCGGGTGCCGTGGCGGAGCGAGAAGTGGTAGGCGATCTCGGTGCCGGTGGCGTCGCCGCCGCCGCTTCGGCCGCGTAAGAAGCCCTTGAGGAGGCGAATGCAGGGGGCGATGCTACGGTCGATGCTTCGGCTGAGGACGTGAGGGTCTTTGGATAAAATGCGGGCGAGATTGACCCCTCTGATGCCGTTCTTGGAGAGGAAGGCTAGCTTGGGCTCGAGGGTCTTCTCGGGCTTTGAGGAAAGGAGGCGGGGGTTTTTGCTTAAGACGGCGGTGGTGTCGGCCGAGGAGAAGCCGTAGCGGCTGAAGAGAGCGACGACGGCCTCGGAATTGTCTGTGTTGGGGTTCGTGCCGACGGCGAGGGCGTCTGTGGGTTGAGAGAGAGTAGAGAGAAATTTCAAAAATGGGTTTCCATAGATGGTGCTGTTGCCGAGGTTGGTGGCTCTGTTGTATTTGTGGGTGTTGCTTGAAAGGGCGACCAAGATTTGTTGGAGGCGGAAAAGGGGTCTGAGGGCGGGGATCAACATAATCGCCAGTTTTAGGGTAAAATGTCAGCTCACAAGCCTTTTGAAAGGAACGAAGGAAGGCGCTGCTTTCTTTTCCTCTCTTATTTTTTTTCCTCCAACACTCTCGTGTAGTGATTTTTTTTTTTCTCTTTTTTTTTCCTTGAACTTGTGATTATTCATTGGGAAATTTTTTAATTTAAATTATTTGTGAATTATATAGGCTTAAATACATAGAGGGCGTTTGATATGAGATAATCTTAAAAATGAGAATGAGAATTTTTCAGATTCACATGTTTAGTATAATTATTAGATATTTTTAAAACTTAGAAATGTGAATCCTATGGGTTTCACATTACCACATTTTGGAGTAATCCTTAGCCTACCCACCCAATAAGGTGTTATTTATTTTTCCAGGAAAGTAATATTACGGGAAAAAATCTGTCATAACCTTTCTCTCACCCATCTCGTTCATCTTTCTCTCTCGTCCAAACCCAGCTTTCTCTCACTCATCTCTTACCAGACCCATCTCGCCCATCTCTCTCTCTCTAGTCCAGACCCAGCACTGCACTTCCGTCGACCACGCTGACGCCGCCTTCTGATCCACCACATCGTTGCCGGACTATCCTCTGTCTCCACCACCAGTGTATGATTCCTTTTTTCTCTCACTAATGTATTGAGCCCATTAGCATCTAAGCTCTGATCATCGTGGTCAACAGCTTGTCGTAGTGGAGCTCTCGAACAAAGATGAGCGCCACCAGCTCTTTGTTTGCTCCGGCACCAATTAGCTCCAGACTTGGATGCCGACAGAAGTACTTCCTGATTCAAACTGTGTTGGATGATTCTTCCTGATTGCTGTCGATTTGGGTTCCGCCTTCGTGAGAGACACTGCTGCCGATTTTAACTGGGCTTGAGAATCCGCTGGAGTGGACAATCGCCGCCGCAAACTTTTCCTCCATAGGCGTCACCATCGAGTCCATTATGAGCGGCGTTTGAAGCGCCTTGTTCGGCTAGACTGTTGCGCTTAAGTGGAGCTGTGGTTCCGGTAGAGTAGCAACGATGGAGATTGTGGCGGAAATAACCGCAAATCTCATCGAAATCATTTAAAATATTTTATACTTTTTAAAACATTAGTGCTAATTGTAATTCATTTAAAAAATATGTTTTTTTTTTAATTCACAACATTCTCATGCACAACCAAACATGGTAATGTAATATTTCTAGGAATTTGAGAAAAATTTATGCATGGAACCAAACACAATAATATATTATTCTTGAAAATTATATTACCCTCAATCACTTTCCCGGAAATATGATTTACACTGATTACTGCGTACCAAACGCTCCCATAGGGAAATATATTAAAAAACATATGGGAATATAATACAATAAATAATATATTTTTAAAGTTAAATTATTTAAATACCAGATTTAAAAATTATTAAAAGTAAATAATAATTTAAATGTTTTATTTACTATTAGTAAATTTTTTTACATTAATTTTCTTTTTACGATAGGTAAATATATTTTTGTCTACATAAATAAAGACTTTGTTCATTTTATTGATTCGAGTTTTGCTATGATAAAAAGCTCTCAGAAACAGATACGTCTAACTTTTTTGTTACAGTAAAAGCACTCACATAAAGTCACATCTCAACTCGAATCAGCGAACTAAATTGGCCCAAAAATGTTTTATCGTATAAATTATTTTTTATCAATTGAAATGAAATATTTACACAATAAACAACTCTTTATTTTAAATATCTTAAAATTTTTCATTTACTTAATTTAATTTCTAAAAGGGACCTTCTCTGGTACATAAACATACCGGTAAGTCAGTTTTATCTCCGTCAGATCTGCATAAATCGCGTACAAGTTAAAAAGTACGCATATCCAACGATTAGAAAAACATGACTTATCGATACACCAGACATACTTAATAATCTCCTTTTTCTACGATCACTATTTAGTACGATTTCCGTAAAGTATGTTTGTCAAATAGGTCCGTAATGATTTGTGAGTTAGATTTATTAAGGAAAGTTCACAGCATGAGTGTTCATCAAATCCTACAATCCATTTTATTTTAAGGCATGTTTGGTTCATGCGTTTAAATAAGTGATTCTTGATTTTGACATTTGAAATTCAAATTTTTTGTGAGAGAAAAATATTGTAGTAAAATTAAAACAATGAGTTTAAACGCATGAAAAAAATGAGCCCTTAAATGAAAGTACATGATTTATCATGGTTTTATAGAGGTCAATTATTTATGTCATTATAAATAATTGGGTGTTATTGTGACGTTTTGGTCGAAATGACCCCTCCCTTTTTTTAAGTCCTTTCTTTTATTTCTTGTTTTTACCATAAAATTTATTTATTTTTTCATTTTGATCCTTTTTTACTTTTTTATATTTTTGTCTTGAATTCTATTTATTTTTAGTTTTGATTCTCTTTACCCTAAAACTTATTTATTTTTTCATTTTAGTCTTTTTTGACCCTTCTTTACTTTTACCCGAAAACTTATATTCTTTTGTTATGGTTCCTTTTGCCCTAAAACATATTTTATTTCTTAATTTTAAACCTTTGTTGACTATTTTTTACTTGAAATTTCATTTTTTTATTGTTTTGGTTATATTTATCCTACAACTTATTTGTTTTTTTTTATTTTGGTCATGTTCTAACCTTTTTTTAGGGTAAATTGCACGAATGGTCCCAAAACGAACTACAAATATTTAAAAGGGTGCAATGTAGTTATTTCCGTCAGATGCCTCTAAAAAGTAACGGCATAATAACCTAAAATGGTGATATTATGGTCCCTTACTTCTTTATGAAGTGGTTTTTTAGTCTCCAATCGACTTTAATAGATTAGGATTTGGTCCCTATTTTTTGACAGCATTTAACGAAAAGAATGACATTGCACCATTTTAAATAGTTAGGGCTCGTTTCGTAAAAAAAAAAGTTTGGGGACCAAACTGTCACATTTTGACAAGTTTGGAGACCATTGGTGCTAATTACCCTTTTAATTTTTCTGAAATTTTATTTAATTTTTCGTTTTGGTTTTTACCTTAAAACTTATTTATTTCTTAATTTTAGCCATTTTTTATTTTTTTCTCTAAAAGAACTTAGGGTCTGTTTGGTAACGTTTTCCAAATGATTTTGTTTTCAATACAAAAGTAAACATGAGATTGTTTTGAGAATCATTATAGAACGGATTCTGAAATTACGATTGGTTGGTTTTTTAAGAGACTATTTTGAGTGTAATAAAAAAGTGAAATCGTGTTTGGTTATAATTATTAATTAATATATTATAATATTGTTGACAAGTACTAGAAAATTAAAACATAAAAGGGAAAACAACTTTCAACCATTTTCTAATTCATTCACAAAAATCATTCTCACTATTTTTGTTTCCGTTTTTATTTTCAAGACATTTGCTAAACAAGCACGGTTTGCATACCGTTTTCATTTTCATGTCTCAAAAGACGTGTAAAAACATTTTAAAAAATAAGCAAAAATCAATTCTAAACGCACACTTAGGTTTTTTCGTTTTTTTTTCTTTAAAACTTATTTATTTTTTTATTTTAGTTCTTTTTGACTTTTTATTTTTATTTTTTTCCTAATATTTAATTTTTTCATTTTTAGTTCTTTTTGCCCCAAAACTTATTTATTTTTTCATTTTTGTCCTTTTCTTACCTTTTTTTGTCCTAAAGTTTCATTTTATCCCTCTTTATTCTTTTTGCCCTAAAACTTATTTATTTATCTATTCTCGTCATTTTTAACTCCTATTTTATTTTTGCTCTAAAACTTTTTTCCCCTTTTTTGTTCCCTCCAAACTTTTTATTTCTTCATTTTAATTCTTTTTAACTTTTTATTTTTTGTTCCAGGGACTGGTCAGCTATAAGGCAATTCTATGGAAACCCCTTTGTAATTTTGTGAAAACTTTATTCTTTTTATTATTTTTCTTTTGTGGGATTTTATATTCAGATTTTGTATTCTTTTGATAACACGTTAATTAAAACTTAATACACAAATTACTCCCCACGTGCATTGCATGTGCAGTTCAACTGATATATGTATAAAGGAAAAATAAGACAAATTTCCCTTGGAGTATATGTGTTTAGATTTTTATTCTTTACTCTTAATTAAATTTTTTTAGTCAGATAATTATATTAGTCAAAAAGATATTAATTAAGAGTAAAAGATAAAAATCAAGACCCATGCAGTCTAGGAGTAAGTTCTATAATTTTCTCATATATAATTGAGACTTAACACTATTCTTTTCACAACTCAAATTCTATTACTACAATACTTTCTCTTACAAAACTTTAAATTTCACATTTTGACTGTAATGTTGAAACAAACACTCTCTTAATATTATATGGCCAACAATAGCCCTGGCCCAAGTCCAACCAGTTTTAAGTTTTAATAGTACCCAACCCTTCATTATAGATTATTGTCAAGGATTTATATATTAGGTTAGATTTAGTATTAAAAACTTGAATTGTTTGAAGTGTTGTGTTGAATTACATTTTGTGGAACTATTTAATTTTAAGTTATATTATGTTTATATTTAATTTTGTAATTAATTTTAGAAAAAATGAGACAAATATTTCTTAGAGTGTATGAGTATGAATTTTTACCCATTACTTTTGATTAATATCTTTTTTAGTTAAATAATATATTAGTCAAAAGGGTATTAATCAAGAGTAAGGGGTAAAAACTAAACCCCCTCACTTTAAGAGTAAGTTCAACGATTTTCTTTTAGTTTTATGAGAATATTGAATAAAGAAGGCGTACAAGAGTCAAGATCCAAAACACATGCCTAATCCGTAAATCTACATAATTCAATAAGTGAAATTCGTTGTTTTTCGGATTGGATGAATTTAAGGATGAAAATTTCGCCAAAATTTTAAAAATTTTGATGTATCAATATTTTTTCTACTAAATACTAGTTTTGGCAAAATAGTGAGAAAATATCAATAAACATCACTACAAAAATCAATGTCGGTAAGCTAAATGTAATTCGGGTGAAATTTCAGGAAATATCCAAAAAAATTTCAAAAAATTTCGGTTAAAGAGAGTTTCGAACATTTATTTATTTATTTATTTTTATATAGTGGGAAGAAATAAACAAATCTATATGTGGCATGTTCTTATATTTAGCATTTTTTAAATAACATGTCATAACCAATATTATTTGAATCAAGATGAGATTCTGATTGAACTTTTTTTTTTTTTTTTTACAAGATAATGTTTGAAACTTATAAAACTTCTTTTTGATTTTGAAAAATCTTATATGCATTTAGTTTTTTTTATGTAAAACCTCTTTATTTATGTGTCTTTTTAATATTTATGTTGTTTTAAAACATTAGAAATATGTTTTAATGTAAATTTTTATAAATTTTATAAATTTTATGATATTTTTATTGATATTAATATATTTTTTAAAATTTTTATACCGATATTTTGTTTATTTAATAAGATATAAAAAGATAAATAATATATGGCCTGTTTATTTCACCGATTCGAATTTTGTTACAGTAAAAAGCTATCAAAAACAGTCATATTTAATTTTTTTACTATAATAAAAAATTCTCATATAAAATTATATCTTAACTCAAATTATAAACTCGAATCAACGAAGAAAACATGCCTATATATATTTTGCTGAAAAGATAAATAACATATTTATTTCAACTCAGAAGGCCGCCGAACGAAAGTGTAGTCCGGGACCTAAAGGCGACAAAATTCAAATTGGCGCAGGAACCCTCCAAAACCCTTTTTCCATTTCATTCCTACTTCCTAGGGTTTTAGCCTTTTTCGGACACCGAGTGAGAAAAATTCGCTCTCGTCTCGTTTATTATCCTTCGAAATCCCAAAAATGGAGCGCACACTCCCATGAACCCGTTCTCTCTCAAAACCCCACCACCGCTTCCTCCTCCTCCAACAATGGCCTTCTCCTCCGGTCTCCGCTTCTCCTCCCTCCTCCGCTGCCGCCTCTCCTCTCCCCTCTCCTCCGCTCAATCCTTCAGGCTCCGCCAGAACCTGCCGGAGTTCCGCTTTCTCTCCGCCGCCCCTCGCTCTCGCTCCCGGATTCCCCGCCCCGTGAAGGCCAGGCGGAGGGACGAGCTTGCGAATGGAGGCGGCGGCGAAGGAGAGAATGGGAACGGCAGCGTTCTGGTGAAGGATGGGGGCGGAAGCGACGGCAGGGTTGTCGCCGCCGAGCTCCACAAGGAGGCGACCGAGGCGTACATGGCGTATGCCATGTCGGTCCTGCTAGGCCGCGCCTTGCCGGATGTCCGCGACGGCTTGAAGCCCGTGCACCGAAGGATACTGTGAGTGGTTTTCTTCTTGGTTTGTGTTGTGAAAAAAGAATTGTTTTTTCAGGGTTTCTAAATGAATGAAAGAAAAATGTAGTTATCTGCTTGATTGTTTGAGGAAGTTTTGAACTTTCTGCCATTGTTTTTTTTCCCTCTTTCCATTTAGTATAAGGATTTATGTTGGTTTTTCAGTTTGTATCTCTTTGCATGCCTCTGTTATGTGTTTGGTTTCTAAGAAATTTCAGCGGAAAGCATAAATACAAAAGAAAAAAAGAATTTTGGATTTTGAGAGTTGGAATTTGGTGTAGCAAAATAAAATATCTGTTGAATGGACCATGATACTGCACTTGACATTTGTTTATCTTGGAGTTGCCATAGATGAATGAAGGAAAGAGGAATTATCTATTGGACATTTGGACTGTTTGCAGAGGTCTTGAACGTATTCAAAGTTGCTACTGATTTATTAGTTAGTTCTTTTTTTTATTTTTTATTTTTTTTAACGCACTGGAGTGATTTTTGTTGGCTTATTTTATGCCTGTATGATGAGCCCACAACCGGTTTGATCTCCAAGAACTTTGAGCGCACGTTAGGAGAAAAAATGTGTCACATATAAGTTTTTGTGGTGTGGAATATTACGAAACAGAGCAGGGATTCGCTAACGAAAAGGTTAGACGTTTGTTTAACAGCATGCTTGGAAAGAAGGAAGGAAAAAGAAGAAAGTAAAGTGTTATGTTTTCTTTCTTCTCAAACTGGGAAGCTTGTTGCCCATTATATAATGGTGTGGAAACTTTGCAAATCTTTTTTTGAGAAAAGTTGAAGTGTGCTTTATTTATATAATTTTTATGGTCTGCACATTGTGTGGAAAGCTTTACTATGAACGTTTGATGTGGTCTCTCAACATTCACTTACTGTAGATCCTCATACACTCTTGTAAGTTATGTTAACTGTTAATCATAGTATGTGCTAGTGAAGCATTGTCGCCTTTCTAGACAGGTTCTAAACTCTTTTTTTTTTTCTTTCAATAACTGCTACTGTAAATTTTTCAACATGTTTTTATTGACATTTGGAACATGAAGTCATTTTATACATGTGTGTCCTTTGACTTTTGCTTCTATATGTTTTTGTAGATAATGTAGTCATGTTATACACGCTCCTTTGACATTTGCTTTTAGTTCTTTCTGTAGAAATGTACGTTCAACTGTTATGGATGGAATTACTAATGTGTGATAGGATCTTTCTTGACCTACAGATACGCAATGCATGAATTGGGCCTTTCATCAAAAAAACCATTCAAGAAATGTGCCAGAGTTGTTGGAGAGGTTAATAATCATTGATACTCTGTTTCATTTGCGTAAACATCGACATTCTCTGTTTTTACAAAAAGGCGCTATAGTGTTTTATCTATCTTCTTCTGCATTATAATTTATAAGCTAACGAGTATTATGCTCCAACGTAGGTTTTAGGTAAATTTCATCCACATGGAGACAGTGCTGTCTATGATTCCTTAGTGCGAATGGCTCAGGTAATTTTTGGTATATAAAATATTTATTTAGATGGAGATTTATTGTTAAGCAGGGAAAACCTCATGTTTGTGTGAGACTAGAGCGAACCAAAAATGTAAGGAAAGAAGAAGAAACTGACTGATGTAGGACCTGCAGAAGTTAAAATATATATACAGAGAAAGGTAGAGAAGAAAAGAGAGTAAATGCCACAGTATATGTGCGTGCGTACATGTGTGTGTGTATATTGAAGAGGCCCTTGGGGAAGCTAGATTGATCAACTTTCGCTCAAAGCTTATCTGCAATGCCAAAACTTTTCTTTCTTTCTTATGAGAAAACTTCCTTTTGTTGATAATGAAATCAAGTACAAGACAAGGAATCTTCATAAGCAAGAAGTCTAAAATAAACTAGTCTTAAAGGCATGCCTTTCACGTTGAGGCTTCATTTTTCACTGCCTTAGTGCCTTGATTATGCAATTTTAATCCTCGCCTTAAAGGCTCTATTAGTCAAGGCCCACAAAGAAGCAGAAAACCTCGCCGGACAAATCCATAAACTCCAGATCCTTCTCTTCTTCTTCACTAGTCCTAGGATTTCTTTTCCATCTAGATGGTCCAAACTCCAAAGTAGTGAAACCACCATAATCTTCAATAGAGCTCTAGCTATTCTGTTAGAACCAAAGCCTACTGGTTTCTCCAGCATCAAAAAAATTAATTTTCACATATCATACTAGGAAGGAGAAATATTTAATAGGGGGGACCTTATCACAAGTGTCTAACTTTCCATAAAAGACCAGCCAAGTAAACACCTTTATCCTAGAAGGAACACAGTCTTCAACGGGGACAAGTATTTATGAAAGAGAATTCATCCTTTGTACCCCTATCACTAGTATCTAATATTCAAAACACGAACAAGAATTTTACAATTCTGCAAGGCCAAAACTGTTATTTAAATTTATCCGAAAAACTCCAAGAAGCAACTCCATACCCTAAAAGCCAAAAGTATTTTACAACCATGCCAATCAAGCATTATTTCATGACTGAGTTTTGTTTATGATTAACGTCATTTGATTCCAGCTGCATTCACTTAATTTGGAACTTTTGAATTGAAATACAATTTATGATGGAAGCGCAATGCATCTAATAAAGGCTTATTTTACAACGGTGATGTGTTATGTAGGTTTTGTTTTTTATTTTTATTTTCAACCATGGAGTTTTTCATTTGGATGGTCAATTGTCGAGTTGTTCTCTTGGGTGTGCGTGCATTATGTATTTTGCAGAGATAGCGTATATTAGAGCTTTTTATGTGCGAGTATTTGCACATTCTTTTTCTTGTGTGTGTATCCTCCTGATGTCATTCTTCCCATACAAATATATGCATTATTTCTCCTTAACTTACAATGTAAACTTCTAGTAAATGCTATTAATTGGTTCAGGTTAGCTGGTAGCTTTCTTGATGATGCTTAAAAATCTATTACTTTCGTATAGTTTTTAATTAGATGCCATTTTACTTACCCAGGATTTCTCCTTACGATTCCCACTAATCCAAGGGCATGGCAATTTTGGTTCTATCGATGCTGATCCTCCTGCTGCGATGCGTTATACAGAGTGTAGATTAGATGTATGGTCGATATTTATGTTCCTTCTTGCTGTAAATTTTTTACTCCACCCACCACACGCACACTGTATGTGCTCCCTTTTGATGGTAATGGCTTTCAGTAATAGTCGTTTGTGCTTTATTTTTGCAGCCACTGGCAGAAGCAACATTACTGGCGGATTTAGAACTAGATACAGTCAGTCCCGTTTCTTACAATATAATTCATATGAAGCTATTTTTTCCTGTCGCCATTTTCCTTGAATGACTTATATTCTATAGGTTGATTTTGCTCCAAATTTTGATAATTCACAAAAAGAACCATCACTTCTTCCTGCCCGTCTACCAACTTTACTGTTGAATGGTTCTTCTGGGATTGCGGTAATTTTAGAATTGATTTTCAACAGTTGGTTCTATTTTCTCTTCTCCTTAGAATTGGCTATCTTATTTGGTTAAAATAATATCAGGTTGGCATGGCAACCAATATTCCTCCTCACAATCTTGGGGAGTTAGTTGATGTGCTCTGTGTCTTGATTCGGAACCCAGAAGCTACAGTAAGAACCGGAATCTTCTTACTATTGTATGATACTATGATTGAAGAACTAGAATCTTCTTACTATTATATGATACTATGATTAAATAACAGTCAAATTACTATTCATCAGTAAAAATTGTTACTATGTTTGGTAGGTGTTGATTAGAAATGATTAATAAATAGTTGCATCAAGTTTTCCTTTCCCATAAAAAATCATGAAGAAAATGTGGTTTTGGTGATCATATATTTTTCATTCTATTTTTTCGCCAAATACATAAAATCAAAAGAGGTAGCCATTTACTCAATTGCGGCATTACATGGAAGAATTCTTTTCTTTTGGATAAGAAACACAAGTTTATTAGGTTACTAGGTAGAAGCATAAGAAATACCCATCTGTTCTGGCAGATTTACCTTGTTTTCTGCACTATTTCAAGATCTCTCTTGGAACAAAGACCATATTTCACACATCCATCAACAACTTCTGCAGTGTTTTATCCTGTACTCGTGATACTATTCATCCCAATATAGACATATTTCAAAACATTCACAGGCACACACCATGAACACTTCTTACAGAAATTAATTCCCTTGATTTATGAAATTTACGGAAGGAAAAGATGCCCAGGTTTTCACAAGTGAAATTCAATCAGTAGCCAGAATAAAATATAATGCAATTCCAAGTAGGAAAGAGAATGCTCACTATGTAGCTGGTCAACAAGTTCTTCATCCTTTTCTCTACATTTTGCCTTTTGAATTCTCACATTTGATTTAACTTTGCGGTAGCTGCAAGAATTGTTGGAGTACATGCCTGGACCTGATTTTCCAACTGGTGGTCTGATCATGGGCAACATTGGGTAAGTTAGTAGTTGTTACTACTTCGCAGATATGCACACAATTGTAAGAAGTTGGGCACTTCCTTTTGAATGTTCTCAACCTGGTATTCATGGAGGCGTTGATAAGTCATTTGTATTATAATGTAACTTGAAAAGTTTGTAATAAAGGCTACATTGAAACTGGTTATGGGTAGTTCTCTCTTATGTATCATTTACACGCTTGCAATGAACAATTGGAGGCACAAAGCAAAACCAAAATGGGTTGACTACTGTTTCTGGTTATTGTGGAAAACTTCCATCAGATATGTTCAGTTTGCAAAGAGAGAGAGAAACAGAAATAAAGTGTCTGGGAAGCTTTTGGATATATTTATAAATATTTATATGAAATACAAGTGACTAAGAAAATGAGGTGAAATAACTCTAAATAAGACACATGTTTGAATTTGCATGATCAGAACCCCATGTAGGTGTTATGCGCATGGTATTAAGCATCCTTCCTGTTGCAATTGTTTTTTTTTTTTTCCTATTTCTTTTGGGGTCATGCTTTTGAAGATTGATACTTGCATAAGGAAGTAGACAATTATTTCTCGTAGAGAATTTGAACCAGTTTTCTATATTTAGTTTTGAATAAGTTTCTCTTTGTTACTTTTTAATTATTTTTCTTTGCCTTGCTTCCTCTTTATGCTTGTGATTCCATAAGCATCTTAGAGGCATACCGAACTGGGAGAGGACGTATTGTAGTCAGAGGCAAAACTGATGTGGAATTGCTTGATTCAAAAACAAAGAGAACTGCAATAATCATAAATGAGGTGACTGCTCGTTTCTCTCTCTCTCTCTCTCTCTCTGTTTGTCTGCTTTAGCATTGGATATCAACGTATATGGTTAAATTTTTAGTGAAGTAATTAACTATTTTGTTCTCGTGAATGAAACAGATCCCTTACCAGACCAATAAATCCGCTCTTGTGGAAAAGATAGCTGAACTTGTGGAGAATAAGGTAATATGATGCAAAAGATAGCTGAATTTGCTGATGGTGAACCAGACTTATTTTTAGCTTGTTGATTTGATGGCTTTTGTAGATTTGACAGTGCTCAACACTGCTAGTTGAGTTTTTCTGGGACTTGCAATTGTAGGGTCCTGCAGTTGCTCAAGTTTTGAATTTGAACCCGCTAAGTGGTTTTTGGGAGATTTCTGGGGTATTAAAAAAAATTATAGAACTAATAAACTCTGACTCCTTCGTTTTAAATAGAAACAAAAAACAAAAATAAAAAAAACTTGTGTAAACTACACGATATTGTCTTCTTTTTCATCCTCTCAGTTTGTTAGAGACAGAGATTCTTTAAAACTCTTTTACCAGTCAAGGGTCCAAAACAATGCAGATCTTGAGGCTTATGTTTGACAGATAGAACAATTTGTATAATCGGATTTGTTAGTTTGATTTGTATGTGCCATAGTTCTGTTGTTCTTTTATCTGTCTGCACCAATAAGGAAATCGTTATTGTTGAAATCGATTATTTTATTTTATTTTATTTTTTGGGCTTAACTCAGTGGTCGGGCGATGGGAGTGAATCATGTGATTTTGGTTAATTATTTGGAGATCCGTATGCTCCAATAAAAAAGGGTGATCTACAATTCATAAGACTTCAGTACTTTACGTAATTGATTCCTTTCTGTTTTGTGTCTGGTTAGTATTGGAGCGATTCTTTTTATGCTTAGTTTCAATAATGGGAGCTGAGAGTGGCTCTTTAATTTTTATCAATGAAACAGAAATTACAATGTGCAATAAGGATAGCAAGTTGTCTTCCAAAGGAACAAAAAGAACAACAAAAAGTTGGACATGCTATGTTATACCATTCCAATTATTATGTGTATTTATGTTTTCTGCTAAATTCTGCTCAGAAATTGACCTTTGGTTTGGACATGGTATTTTGTCATGTAAATTCACTAATTTTTTTAGATGGTTATGTTGTGCTGTTTATTTAACCATTTTTATTTATTTTAAAAAAACAGAGTATCGATGGCATAAGTGATATTAGGGATGAAAGCGATCGCTCTGGAATGCGCATAGTCATTGAGGTGCGTGGAATACTTGGTGTTGTTGCTATGTTATGTGTTAAAGTATAAAACTATTATTGGCCCACCTCCTAAAAGCTTAAGCTTTTAGGATGGATTGGTAAACTAACATGGTATCAGAGCAGGAGGTCCTGAGTTCAAACTCCTGTAATTGCACTCTTTATTCCCATTTAAATTGTCATCATGTGTTGGGTCTTTAATATATCTCGGGCTTAAATATTCACGTGTTGGGCTTTCCAATTAATTTACCCACACGATTGCCCATTGTCCAGCCCACACGTGAGGGGGAGTGTTAAAGTATAAAACTATTGTTGGCCCACCTCCTAAAAGCTTAAGCTTTTGGGATGGATTGGTAAACTAACATTATGCATGCTTCATAATGTAGGAAATAGATGTTTAAGCAAGTCATATACCATTAAAATTTTTAATTTATATTTTCTTTCAGCTCAAACGCGGATCAGACCATTCAATTGTTCTAAACAATCTCTTCCGGCTCACATCTCTTCAATCTAGTTTCAGCTGTAACATGGTGGGGTGAGTAATTTCTTTTTGACCACTTCAAATATGAGTAGAATTTGGGTAATTGTCCTTTTGTTGCAGTAGAATATTGGCTGTGGATAATCTATAATAAAACTCAGTTGTAATCTATTCTTAAAAAAAGGAAAAACACTTGTAAAGTTGTACTCCTTATCTATATAATATCTGTCCTTTACATCATGTTTCATTCTTTGAACATCTCTAGTTCATCTCTTAAGACAGTTGAGATTTGATGTATTTAGGGTGCTTAGGAAACACATTGGCGGGATATTTTTGATAAACCAGTGCAAGTTTTCTAATTGGCAGTTAATAGCAAATTAAAATAAATCTAAACTAGGACGGTTGGCTTCAATGGGAATAAAATTTGTAGTGAAATCAAGACGAAGGTCCAATTAGAAAATAATGTGTCTGTCTTTTATACATTCACAAAATCATTTAAAATAGAAGAATAAAAGATATATTGTTTCAATAATAAACTTATCTCTGGAATTACATAGATTAGTTTCATTTTAAGTTAGTTTAAGTTCTTCTAAAGTAATTGTATGACTATTGATATCATATGTTGCTCTTTTTGATACAAGGGGAGGGGGGAATGCCAACTCGAACCCTCAACCTATGGTTGGGGTGGAGGGGCTTATAACCAATTGGGCTGCCCTCATTTGTCCATATCATATGTTGCTCTTGTTGTATAGTTCTTACCATTATTGTTTTGCTGCTTTTGTTTTTATTTTTATTTTTTGTGGCGTGGGAAAAGTACTGTGCACTTATTATGTGCTCTTTAAGTATGGGATATTACGAACATTACTCATTCCATGGTAAGAGAAGGTCGAATCATTCCTGAAATCATACGGCCACACTAATTTTTACTCTTCAGGTAAGGAATATGTAAACAAAAGAATGGACAAGATTCAAAATAGTTATTCTTCGCATTCTCATTCCGTTTTATCAGATTCGTTATTAGAGCGATGAAGATGTTATTAGAAACTTGTGGAAAGGGCAATGTCTATTACAATGCTAAAGTTATAGCTATGCTAATAAACCACCCAAAGTGGTGTATGTTTTTCTTCTCTTTCCCTTTTTCATTTGGTTGTTTTCTGTAATATGTTTTACTCAATACCTGAGTGATACTAACAACCTTTACTTTCCTGCATGCGGAATGCATTTAATACTTTTTTTGATTTTTTTTTGAATGGTTTATCTTTTACAGTATCCTCAATGGACAGCCAAAACAAATGGGTCTGAAGGAATTGCTTGAGGTGACTACTTACCTATCCTTCCTCTATCTGTATGCATGTCTGTGTGTAGAGGTCTCAAAATGCGTTCTTGTGGTGGTCATTTACACGTTTGTTTTTTTTTTTTTGTTTTTTTGCTTTTTATAGTTATGATGAATTTTTGTACTTGGGCAGGGCAATTGAGTTCTAGTATGACATGCTCAAATGCAATAGCGATACAGCTTTTTGGTGTTGCTCGTGTCTATGTATTAATAATATTCAACTGAAGCAAAGCACAAAAAAAGTGAAAAAAGAGGAACCGGTTTTATTGTAAAAAGGGTTTTCCTCAACTGCAAAAGAAAGTAGAGTTAATTATAAAAGGATTATGCCTTATCATTTTAACCACCAAATAGTCTTTAATCGGTCATGGGTTTTCATACTATTAACTAATTGAAGGACCATGGGTGCGTTTGGAATTGGTTTCAAAAGGATTTTATTTTCAATAAAAAGTAAAAAATGAGATTGTTTTGAAAATCATTTTGGGACCGATTATGAAATTGCGTTTGGTTGGTTTTTTAAGAGATTGTTTTGAGTATAATAAAAAAGTGAAATCATGTTTATTAATTAATATATTATAATATTGTTGATAAGTACTAAAAAATGAAAACAACTTTCAACTGTTTTCTAATTCCTTCACAAAAAACATTCTCACTGTTTTCGTTTTCAAAACATTTGCTAAACAAACTTCGTTTCATTTTCATTTTCATTTTTTGCTTCTTGAAATACGTGAAAACCGTTATGTTTAGCACAATATTTTTGCTTCTTTCACCTTGTTATGTCTATATTTTTGACAGTATCCATCAGCTGGTAAATATTCCCTATTTTCGACCTCAACATAAGTTTTCTGTTTGACTATCCTGAGAAAGGAATTTAAAACGAGGTTTGCAGTTCATGGAAATAGCTTGGAAGGGTTGTTTATGATTGCAGTGGAACCTTTATTTTGAGCTATGACTTTGAAGTTCCATAATACGTGAAACTTGAAGATCCCTTCAATTTGGCTGATTGCGGGTATTGGCAGTCAGCCACCTCTTCTTGTCCCTAAACTGATTGCAAAAACAAGTTGTGGGTTCTAAATCTGACAAAATTTGGTCCTTCACATAGTTACCATTTTTATAGATTCTGCTGCAGCAACTTGGACTGTATGAGAAACTTTATATAAATTATTTTCTATAGCAACATTTTTGCAATGTCTATGACAAGTTGGACCTTAAACTAAACTTTGTTTCTGTATAAAGATTTTTTTTTTAACAAGTTATAAAGACCTTGCTATAATAATTCTAAGCAACAACTTTCTCCAAGAAATATGTTTTAAAAAAAAAAATTGAAGGCTTTATATATCTTTGAATAATGATTTTCTTATTAATTTATTTTTTATTCTTTCCCCTCCCCCTTGGCATTGTGCCTTGCGTGATGTATGTTATGTAGGTCTACAAAACCCCAAACCCTATCTTGTTTCTGATTAGCAGGTTCTTTGGTTTTCTTGATGGCCTACTTGTCCTCTCAGCTTTCATGACCTATTCTTTCTAAATCAAAGTTCTGTTTCCTTCAAAAGAGGTGTAATGTATGCATAGCTCTTGATAAATGCTCAAAGAGTTTGCACTGCTGAGCACCAAAAGCTTTTTCTTGAACCATATGCTGCCTTATGACGTCACATGGATCTCATGTGGGTTTGACATTGAGTGCTACAGAGCCAAAAATTTTGGTGCTCAACATCACTTCGATAAATTGAACTAGCCATAACTTTTGGGAACAAAAGCCATGCATGCATTCTGCAATAGCTTCTATTTAGTACGTTGATTATGCCAGTGAAGTCGTTTTCAGAGACTTATCTTCTAAATTTATGCCATAAGAATTTGTTGACACAATTTACTAACCTTTGCTTTGCCTTGCCTGGAATGTCTAGCTTAGTAATTTTGTTTTTGGTTTCTTTTACATCAAGATTATAGCATGTCTTGGGTCTGATTAAGAAGCTCTTCTCAAATTATTTGCAGGCTTTCTTAAATTTCAGGTGCTCTGTTGTTGAAAGACGTGCTAGGTTTAAGCTTTTCCAAGCACAAGAAAGAAGACATATTGTTGAGGTATGTTAATATTAATGCAGTTTCTGGTTAAAACATCCTTCTATAGTAGTATGATAATATAGCATTTCGTAATATATTCTATTAAAATGTTACAGCAAGATCTTTTTGAACCAATGTGTGCGCTCATGGGTTTATTTTTTGTAATAGGGTTGAAGACACCCCCATGCTTTTTTAAAATGCTGTATTCCACTCTGTTTTTCAGGAATGCTGCACCTATTGCTCATGTTTTACAAATCATGTTCAAAACCTTGCTTTTGATGTGTATCTGTAATGTGACGCCGTATAATTTTTTCTAAAAGGTAAAATGCCCTTGAGTCCAATCAACATGGATTTTTATTTATTTATTTAATAAAAACAGATTTAAACTCACAAGTTTCTCCAAAAAAAAAAAAAAAAGGAATAACAAATTCTTAACCAAAAATTAAATAGAGATGCTTTCATTCGTGGCGATGGTAGTACACCCTTTCTTCATGGTGACGACAATAACAGTTCCCCCAACTCCACCAGATATATATATTTTTTTGCTTTCTGATATTTTTAATATTTTCTGGGTAGTTTTTTATTATTTTTTATAGCTTTAAAAGAATAGATGATCAAAAAGAAGGTTCAAATTGTCCTCTTATATTGCTGTTTTGATCAAAATACAGCAGAGGAGATATTTTTTTACACGATTTGTAAAAAACAATGAACAAGCGAAAATTGGGTGGAATGCAACATTCCGATATCCCTCTGTATCATTATAATTATATTGTTTGAACTATTCTCAGTAATAGTTAAGAGCTTAATGTATGTATGTGTGTGCTTATGTACTGTATGTATGTATATATATTTAGATATTCAGTTTCTACATCCTATAGTTTCCTACCGCAAAACAATTTGGTCCTTGGAAGTTGAAAATTATGGAATCGGTAGTAGTATGGGTTGGGGGTTGCTTTTATGAGTAAATCATTGATCTTGACATCGTTTGTTGTACTTAAAATACGTTTCATTTACTCATAGGGTATTGTTGTGGGGCTTGATAATTTGGACGGAGTGATTCGTATAATAAGAAAATCTTCAAGCAATGCCGTTGCATCAACTGGTTTGCAGAATGGTAAGCGTGCATTTAGATTTTTTCCTTTAAGTTGGACATCTTATTTTAGAAATTAATGTGGTGGTTGGTGGGTTCTAAACTTGCTCTCTTATTTGGATTTTGGCTATCTCAACAAATTGATTTTGTGTTTAGTGGGTTCTAAATGTTTGCTGGAATTATAGAGCACCTATAATGATACTAATATTTGCAGAAGTATAAAGTTTTTGTTTTTTTTTGTTTTTTGGGATAAGAATCAAAGGAACTTAAATAAAGTTTTGAGTACTTTGTATAATTCGTTATGTGATTACTTGTTGTTGTGGTAGTCATGCTTCCTATTTGAGTATGATCCTTGTTACAAAACTCTATGGCTACGATGGAATTTTTACAGATTGTGTTGATACTTGATAGTATCTTGAGAATAAAAGTTAGACGCTCATTTGTTTAATTGTTTAGAATGAGGTTTTGCTTTTGGGGAGAGTCGACAGATTAGGGTCTGGTCTATATCCTTAACAATGGCTATTGGCTGCCCTGTCTTCTTGCTTGTCTCTTGTTGTAGCAGAACTGATGATTTCCCCATAGAAAAAAAAAAGAAAAAAAAAATTAAGAATAGAAGTTGAACTGGGGAACCACAACCTTTTGTTTTTCTTTTCCTGTTTCTCAATTTAATTTTACAGCACAAAACCTTCAGAAGTTATGCTAATACAAGCTTGTATCGTTGAAATTGTATGTGTTGTTTTTTTTTCTAAAAAAAAAGACAGCTTGTAAAATATGTTTCAAACATCATCCAACCCTGGCATCCAGTTTAGAGCATTTCCTGGATTCCGAGAATGCCCCATATCCTGAAAACGAAGTATTGTGCTTTCCTCCTCCAGTTTTTTCTTTTCTTTTTCCCCCCTAGTAACTTACTGTGTGCTTGCTTATTTTAGAAAGTTATGTAGATTGTAAGTTTAAGTTTGGGTAACTTGTTTTCCTGTTTCTCAATGCAATTTCTTTATTTTCTGCAGAGTTCAATCTTTCTGAGAAACAAGCTGAAGCTATATTAGACATAAACCTAAGAAGACTTACCCTTCTTGAGGTACGCAATAGCTGTTCCTGGGGATATGTTTCTGTTTACTTGTTCCGATCCCCTGTATCATTGTTTGAACATAATGTTATCGTAAAGAGATTTTTCCCCCTTTTTACAGAGAAAAAAGTTTGTTGATGAAAGTGAATCATTGAGGGGGCAAATTTCTAAGTTAGAAGAACTCTTGGCAAGCAAGAAACATATATTAGAGGTACGTGCTATTAAAGAAATGAGAAACCCATCTAACATCAAGTGAACATGACAAAGACTCTTTTATGTGTCTAGGTGTTCCACATCGTAGTCTAAACGTATGGTTTGTTGGTATGGAAACTCAATGAGAACCGCTTTCATCTAACCTTTAATGCTATTGCTATCTCTTCCTTTTCTCTTTACTTTCTTTCTTCCTTTTTTTAGCCTTATCTATGTAATATACTTTATTTATTTAGTATCAAAAGAACTTATTTATAAGTCACCGTTTTATTTTATGTAAAGACCATCTATCTTATATGAAGGCAGGTTTGGCTTGTGTTACCTATATCAATGCGTTTTTATGTGTTTATAAATATTTGACGAAAGAGTATGTTGCATATATTTATTCAGTTCTTTAGTCTTTCTCAATTGTAATCTTACTTTTGTTTTCTTTGATGGAATCCTCTTCCGTCCTGAAACTTCTGTTGTAATTATTACTTTTAATTAATGAAGTTTCTCATTTCTTATAAAAAATGTTTATTTTTCTGTGATGAAACAAAGTCCTGACTTTGAATTATTCTTCTAATAAAATTTTAGGTAGTTGAAAAAGAAGCAATTGAGTTGAAGAACAAGTTTTCCAACCCGAGGCGGTCTTTGTTAGATGACACAGATGGTGGTCAACTTGAAGACATAGATGTTATTCCTAATGAAGAAATGCTGCTGGTACATGGGAAAAAAAAAATCAAATTCCATGGCTTTATATTTCATTTTTCTATAGGAAAAAAACTTTTTATATCTTCCTACGAATTTTGTCTTATCATTTCTAAGAACTAATATTTCTTCAAAATATCCTGCGTGCATGTTTTCAGGCCTTTAGTGAAAAAGGTTATGTTAAGCGGATGAAGCCTAACACCTTTAATCTTCAAACTCGTGGAACAATTGGTAAATCTGTAGGCAAATTGAGGGTAAATGATGCCATGTCAGACTTTATTGTTTGCCGAGCTCATGACCATGTTCTGTACTTCAGGTACTTTCAGTTTGCTTTTGATTTATTATACAAAGCCTTTATGCTATTCAATGGGAATGAACATTTTGGGGACTTGCTTTATATTACAGCACGTACGAGTTCTGGGTCTCGTGCTATGCTATGATTGCAAGGTTTTAGAGGTCTCTTGGCCATGTACTAGGAACTTACTGGAGGGGAATTTTTTGTCCATATAATTTACGCCTCTTCCTATTACTTTTATATGAAGTAAGAACTTTTTATTTTTGAATATCTTGTTCTTTTATATTTGACTGCATCTTTCTTTTGTTCCATTTTTGTAGTCTTGGTGATGTCACATTTAATGCAAAACGTTGGGCTTTTAAGATTTATGATAAATGGTTCTGATTTTTGAATTTTGGATTCAGAATATTTTATCAACTGGTGCCGTCCTAAGTAAAAATGACTTTGCGGGCCTCTGAGATTTTCCGATTTGTGTTGTGTTGAAGGGATATCTATAATGATCTGATATGATTCGATTTTTAGAAGTCCTTGGAAATCTATGTTATAAAGTGGGCTGAATTTTCCACCCATTTCCACAACGAGCTTTTTAATATTTGAAATGAATGTAGGAATTTCTTAAAAAAATAACTCAATGTACGTAATCTCAGGATTTGCTGCTAGTCTAATGTTTAACTGTTTTCACGCAAAAGTGTGGGTTTCGTCCATTTCCTATAAACAAAAATACAAAAAAAAGGATATAGAAGGAAGTTTGTGCATCGATGCTTACTCTGTATAGAATAATCCGCTTCCTGGTCTTGGCAATTGCCACTCTTGTTGTTGCACTAATACGTTACATCCTGTTCCAGTTTTAAGATTGTCAACCTGGCTTAACTTATTGGGTCAAATCTTTATTGTAGTTTGTCGGAAAATCAGGAATTAGTTGCCGCAGTAGATAGGTTTTATTATTTTTATGTTTTATCAAATAAAATTTGAATTCTGAAATTTGAATTTGTAGTGTAGGGTAAGGTAGTTTCACATTTTGTTCTGATCTCCTATTTATCTTCTGTTTTCCCGTCTATGAATTTCAATGAAGGAAAAAACTTTTCCTTCAAAAGTCTTCAGGTTTTATAGCTTTCCTTTTCATAGTTATCTTTGTATATGGATCTTTATCAAAGTTGTTTTTGCAGTGATAAGGGAACAGTATACTCAGCTCGTGCGTATAAAATTCCAGAATGCACTAGAACAGCTGCTGGTACGCCACTGGTTCAGGTATTGAGTATTGACCTGTTGTTACGCTCTTTTCTTCAGTACTTCTTGTTAACTATTACTATAGTTTTTACTTACCACCTTTTTCTGGAAGCAGATCTTATCTTTGTCTGATGGTGAGAGAATTACATCAGTTATTCCTGTCAGTGAGTTTTCTGGAGATCAGTTTTTATTGATGCTTACAGCGAATGGATATATCAAGAAAGTATCCTTGAGTTCTTTTTCGTCAATCAGGTCGACAGGAATCATAGCAATTCAATTGGTTTGTCCTGTTTCCTGCCTTACTCTTGGCTTCTTTTTCGCATGCAAGGTTCTTATTTAGCTCACCATTAACTGGATAGGTTCCCGGTGATGAGCTAAAATGGGTTCGCTGTTGCTCAAACGATGATGTTGTTGCAATGGCTTCACAAAATGGAATGGTCATTCTAACATCCTGTGATAAAGTAAGTCCCTTTATGTTTATTCGTATGTTGCTCCCAAGCATGCATTTAGGATGGTCTGCAATTAGAGGCTAGAGCATTTCTCTCTCTCCCCTTTTTTTTGGGTTATTTGGGGTGCTTACTATCATAATTGCTTCCTCAAAAAAAAAAAAAAAAGATTTTTACCGTTAAAGATCCACATTGAAATCAGGGAACGATTTCTTTTCTTTTCTTTTGTTGTTTTGTTTTGTTTTTTTTTTTTTTTCTTTTTGTTTGTTTTTTTTTAGTTGATCTATGACTGATATAGATACCTTAACTATGAGTTAGAGTTTGATAACCTGGAGTTCCGTTATATTGTAAGGTTGCCGGTCTCTGTCAATGTTAATAACAAATATATATATATATATATTATAAAAGAAACAGGGATCTTTATTGATCGTAAAAATAAAGAACAGGGAGAAGAGAGGAAGAGTTTTCCTCACGCAACCCGGTACCAAGATTACAAAGGAAAATAAAAAATTGACAAAATCAAAAGCTGAACCAGAAAACAGAATGGAGATTAATAACAAATATATTATGGAAGCATCATTCCTAAAGCAATTAATGTAAAGTGGCCATGGTTTCTATCATTTGTTAAAAAAGCTATGACGAGTTACTTTAGGACATAATATGCTACTTCAGACAAGGAGCAGCTTCTCTTAAATATATTGATTTGGTTTGAAAAAATTTTATAAGGGACAGTAACTGGTGTTCAGAACTAGAGTGTATTGGGAATCATCAGCTCAGGGTTTAACCCACAGTGGCATATTGTTTGTAATGTGGTTTGCTGCAATTTATTCAAGGACCTTATCCATGCTTACAAGGTTGTAATTCCTCACTATTATATTGTCTTTAACAGATACGAACACAAGGCAGAAATACAAGGGGTGCCGTGGCCATGCGACTTAAAGCAGGGGATAAGATGGCGAGTGTGGACATCATACCTGGAGCAATGCGCAAAGACTTTGATAGGGTGTCAGGTCCCCCGAGCAAGTAAACTTTCCAACAATTTTTTTATTATTTGATGTTTTTGTAACTTAGGGGCAAAAAAAAAAAAAAAAAAAAAAAAAGGAAAGAAAAAAAAAAAAGAAAAAATGTTAGCAGCATAACAGACTTGTAAATGCTTTACGAAATAACTTTTGAGTTAGCAATACCTCAACTTGCCTGACCAAATCCGTCACATAGACTATTTAAATTGAAGCGCTGGTGTTTCATCCATTTGATGTGCACCTAATTTTTTGGGAAGAAAGAGAGAAACAAAAACCACATGTATTGATTGCATCTGTTTATATGTCTCTTTTGCTACTCATTTTTTGTATTGGATTGCTTCAAAGTCAACCTGACAAAAAAATAAACCAAACATGCCCGTTACAATCATGTAGCTATGATGTGAAGGTTTCTAGTCGAGGATGGAAGTGGTTGAGGATAATTTGAAAGGCTTAGTGAGATGGTTTGGCTGATGCGATGAGTACTTATACATACACCGGTTACAAAAAGTTTGGGTAGAATGTATAGTAAACTTGGTAAGCTAAAGATAACTTTGCTCACCACGGGTTATGGCATGATAATTTAAGATGTATAAGATATGACGTTAGTGTTGATTAGAAAGGACTGAATGTTGTAGAGGGATTTATTCGGCTGTAGTTGAAATTGACATTTAGCTCATCCGAGCTAATTTTGTTTCAGTAAGCAGTTCCCATGATTCTATGATTCATAATCCCATATTTGCATTTGTTATTATTTCCACACTACCAGAGGCGTAAATGGCCCGTGGTTGTTATTCATATCGGAAAGTGGATATGGAAAGCGGGTTCCCTTAAGCAGCTTTCGTTCAAAACCTCTGAACAGAGTGGGTCTGATAGGATACAAGGTATTAATCTCTGCTAGATACGAATTTTTCAATTTGAGACGTGTAACCAATTTTGTTACCCTGTATTGATGGTTTCTCTGCAATTTTTTTTTTTTTTTTGGTTGGGCTAAAGATGGTTTCTTCTCTGCTTTGTTTTCCAGTTTGCTGCAGAGGATCGCTTGGCAGCAGTTTTTGTGGTTGGGTTTTCGTTGGCAGGTAATCTTACTCTTTCTTCAGCGACAATATTATGCGTTGATAAGCTCCATTCTTATTTTATTTAGTTTTTAAATGACAGGGGATGGTGAAAGTGATGAACAAGTGGTTTTAGTGAGCCAAAGTGGTACAGTCAACAGAATTAAGGTGCGGGATGTCTCCATACAGTCCCGCTACGCAAGGTATTGAATTCAACCTAGTTATTTCTTTTATTTGGCTTCATGCAAGTTTGTCATCGTTGTCGTCATCGTTTTTTTTCCCCTTGAAAGTTGAAAATATAGGAGAAATTGCAGTGGGTGGCGTTTTCAATCATCCACCTTCATTATGGCCAAATATTTTGAAAATTAGGAAATGGCCGATTTCAAATTCTATATTTTCTACAATTCCGATTTCTCCCTTCATTGTCAGACCAATCCTCCATCGCACTGTGAGGTGGTTGTGGTCTTTTGCCCAGTCATTCTGAGAATAGGGCAGTGGCTAGGTGGTTCTGAGAAAGTTTGTACAGAATGAATTTCTTGCTACACTCTCTGTTCCACTTCGAGTTTTCATGTATGTCTTCTTCTCTTGTGCTGCTTTGGTGAAAAACCCTCAGTTGATGCCCTCCAGGACACGTTTCGTGGTCTAGGCTGCAATGATACTTTATACAATTTAACTTTTGGTGTTGAAGTTGCTAATTTATACCCGAATGCTCCTTTTATTTTGTTTTTGCATCAACAAACAGCAACCTCTTGGCTTCTCATTGCTATTGGGGTTATTAGTTATTACGCATATTGACAATTTAGTCCTTTTAACATTTTTCTCTCTTTTTGAGAAATTACTACTTTCTAAGTACATTTTTTTTTGGCTGTTTTACTCTGAAGACTTAAAATTAATGATGGATCTTTGAAGTTTAACGGAGGTAATCATGTTTCTATGCTTAAAACTTTAGCCCTTGGAAATGAAGACATTTTGCACTTAATGCAACTAATTAGGAAAAATTTCAAGTTATCACGAGATAGACATTTGATTATCCGTTGAATTTAAACAATCCTTTGTTAATTTTAGAGTTACGGATTAAAAGTGTAAATAAGAAAAAGAAGAGCCAAATTGTCACTAGCTAATAGTTTGGGAGCAACACCACCAAAAACTGTTGTTATAATGACTTCTGTACTTATATTCAGTAAACATTTTCTTTTTAGGGGAGTTATTCTCATGAGGCTGGACTATGCCGGGAAGATTCAGTCAGCTTCACTTATCTCAGCAACAGATTCTCAAGCCGAGGAAGAAGTTAGCTCTGCGGTTTCTGGCTAGGTTGCCGGTCAACTTCCTTTTTGTTGTGCAGTAAATTATTCTGGCTTCTCTGCTGTGAAATTTGTCCGCCAGATCACTTGATGTAAATGGCCCCAAAAGAGGTAAATCATGTTTGTAAAAGTTGAAATGATGATAGCAGAGCAAAATGATGTACAGATGATTATTCCCGAGTTTGGAGACCGTTACGCTGAATGTCATTTTCATCTCCGTGTTTTTGTGCTCTATTAATCACTCTTTACAAATTCTGCATTGCTAATTTCACCATGAAAGCCGATTGTGGTGGCTTGTGAAGCGGATGGGGAAACAGTTTGATTCTGTAAGTTGCAATGGTGGGATTGTGGTACATTCTAGCGAACCAAGTAGTTGGAGGGGAAAACAAATCGAAAAGAAGTATTGATATAATTGTAGAGATTTCCAAAGTGGGGATGTGATGGCATGTGAGATTGCAATCGAACCTATAAGTTTTGTAGGTTATAAAGAATCATTTTCGATTTACGTGTATTTTTTATGAGAGAAAATACTGTAGCGAACTACGAATTATAATTCAAATCAGGGAACGAATCTAGGTATCAAACGGGTGCGTGTTTGATTTATGTATTTGAAATTATGATTTTAATTATATTACAATATTTTTTTTCTCACAAAACATTTGAATAATGAAAGTTGTTGTCAATTAGTTCTCACAAAATTTGAATTCAGAATTAAAATCATTGATTTAAACGTTTGATCAAAATAGGCAATTAGATTTGGTGTTTTCTTGAACCACATCAGAAAACGTCAATTATTCTCCTCTGCCTGGTTTGGCTCCCACGGTCCCCATGGAATTCTAGAAAATGCTCAAACCCCTCATCTATGATTGGTCCTTGGTCAAATTTAAGGTGGACTAATGAATAGTTCGACTATACTATTATCATTGCTTTAAATTAAGGGAAAAGGTTTGACTTTTATCTTTTATTTTTTATTAATATCTATTTAATTAAATATTATATTAATTAAAAAGTATTAATTAAGAATAAGAGATAAAAATTTAGATTTACCCACTCTTTTTTTTTTTTTTTTTTAAATACTTCTACAACATCCAACTGGTCTGGTAGAGCTTTACCCTTTCCTAATTTTTCCGACGCACAACATGTGTTACTTCTAATTTGGAGCTATAGAGCTCAGCAAGTGAAGAGTCTCGTCTCACAATCTTAAAATTATCATTAACATATAATCATCATATACACAACGAATTAATTCATGATAGTTATTTTATGTTAATACAAGTCCATATGAAATCTTGAGAAAACAAGTTGTATTATTTCTGGTGCATTTTTACTACAAACGCATGAGAAAATACAAGAGATAAATATTACATTTTACATAAAAGTCTTGGTAAAAGTCCCACTTGCAAAGCTGAGACAACTCCTTATTTATGTATATTGTTGCAGTTTCAGCAATATGCATGTATAGTATAGTCCATCGTATTTAGAGATGCGTACAGAACACTATACGTACGGATTTAGAATCTTAAATATTGTTACAAAGTCAGAAAAATTATAGATCTTCAAAATTGATTATTAGTCTATCCTTGAATAAGTTGTATATTAACGTCAAAAATTAGTTCTGAATTTAAGAAAATAACAAAACAAAAAAAAAATCTAGCAGCTATTTCCATGCCTCAAGGATAATTAAATTAAAGTAACTGAACCTGCTCTAACAAGAACAACTCAAAATTAATGTTAGGGATATTTATTTTTTTTATAGCTTGTGTTTTGGGTTTATAAAAAAACTATACTTTTAGTTTTTTTATCTTATCAAATATATATCTTCAAATTAGATTTAATATAAAAATTTATACCTTTCTACAATTAATCCTCAATTTTAACCTTTAGAATACCTAAAATACATAGAAAAAGGAAAAAACCTAAAAAAAACTTTGAACTCACAATTTTAACCTCTAAAATATGTAAAATACCATTCAAATAGGTTTTTTGTGTTATTAATTTTTAATTATCATAATATTAGAAAGTTTTAGTTTTTTTTCCCTTTTTCTTAAGGATAGATTAGTCAATTTAAATGTCAAAATCAATTATTGACCGAGATAAAATATAGATTTGTATATCTAATTTGTAGATATACATTTGATGAGATAAAAAATTGAAGGAATAAATTTTAAATAAACTTAAAATATAAGGTATAAAAATATAAATATCCCTAATAAAAATAAAAACCGATGGCTGATAATTAATTTCATTTTCATAGAGAAATGAGCTAACATGTGGCAAGAATAAAAGTAAGAGAATGAGAAAGAGTGACAAAAAAGTATAAATATAAAATTTATTTGGGTGCATTTATAGTGAAGAAGAATACTATAGTCATGTTCATTTCATTATTCGAGTTTAGAATTTGAGTTTTGCGACAGTAAAAAACTCTAAAAAACAGTCAAATCTAACTTTTTTACTACAGTAAAAAATTCTCACATAAAATTACATCTCAATTCAAATTAAAAACTTGAATCAGTAAATTAAACGAGCCCTAACTGTGTTTTAATCGTTAAAATCAAATTTTCAATTGTCTTACTTTTGTACTCTTACTTTGAAGCAATAAAAGTACATGGACTTAGAAATAACAAAAAACACCAAGAAAAGTTTATACAATATATAACGATAATCTTTTTGTGCGCTTTTAGTTTTTTGAAGAGAGCTGTTACAAATTTTCATTTAAAAAAAACCTGTTACAAATTTTCAGGATTTGTGTTGCTCGCATGAAACTCACTGAGCCATCTGAATAAGATGAAGCGACTCAGTCCGCTTCAAGGGCCGCAATCTCATATCTGACCTCTTCCATGTGCTCAATAATAGCAGTTACAGAATCCTGCACTCCTCTAATGGCCTCCTTGAGAGCATTATCATATTCAGCATCTGCTTCTGCCTCTTCAGTTCCTGCAGCTTCTGTTATCTCATGAACATGCACACACTCGTGCTCCGTCGGTTTCTCAAATTTGCAGTTCGTATGGCTCACCAAACGCTCCGACGGTCGACCGGCCTTCTTTAATACCTGTATTGTAGCTGTCTTCGAAAGGACCAAAATGTGAAGTTAGCAAGAAATATGAGATTCGACTTGGATAAACATTAATATCTGAAAGTACAAGTACCTCTTTTAAAGGAAATTAAGAAAAATAAAAGATTATTATTGTGAGGTTGGTTATGTCGGAACATAAACGAGCATAAGGAAATTGTGATCAGAAAGTTTTCATCAGTAGAACTACATAAACATTTTCACCTCCTTACCATCAAAGAATAGCTTTTTTTTTTTTTTGCAGCACTACATTTTATGCACTGTATGCCGCGAAAGTTTCCAAGTTAACTCGTTTCCCTAGTTGCTTTAGCCTTAAAGCCAAACCAACAACAAGTGACTTTTTACTTTCGTTTTTTTTTTTTTTTTTTAAATGGAAAGGATTCATTAACAAGAAGCAAACCAACACAAGAAAAGAAGCACAACACACCAAAGCGGAAAGAAAAACAGAAAAGACAACTCAAACAGAGCCAAAAAAAAAAAAAAAAGGGCCAGTGCAATCACAGGAAATTGGGATACAACATCTCTGGAACAGCGAAGGAATCGTCAATGGAAAAAGGAGACAACGCTCAGAGACTCAGAAAATGTGCTGCGACATTGCCACTCCTCCACGTCCAAGAGAACATGCAGTATATGAAAATGGAAATCTCTAGCCAACCTCAGAACTTCAAGCCTATAATTGTCAGGTGCCTATCCTAAACTCCTACCAGCCTGCAAATCCATCAACACTTTAGCATTCCCCTCAACCACCACATTCCAACTGAGCCACCATCCAGCCACCGCGCAATCACCAGCACAGCACACCCTCCGGCCCAAAAAGCTGTATCAAAGTTGAATTTAATGAAATCCCTCTCCAAAGGCTTCTAACGAACCTGCGCAACCGAGGCATCAATGCTAACCACAGCCCCATCCTGCCGACGAGTGAATGCGCTATGGAACTTCTGAATTCTCCTCCGGACTAGCTTGATAGTAGCCGGGAAATTAGGCTGCCTCCCCTCAAAACACGGAGCATTTATGACATTCCAAACAGCTTTTACAGAGATAAGCCCTGCCAATGAGAACTCTGAGGCCAAAAGACTCCCCCTCAAAAGGAAATAAGCAGGCGGACTTTTCCCCCTTCATTAAACTCCCCACTGATCAAGTTTAGGTACTTGAGGAATAGGCCAGGTTCGTTTCAATTCTTAACATAAGAAGAAGGATCTATTAACGCTTAAGAAGGCTTGAGCAGTTATTTAGCAAGTTCAGCATGGCTTGTTGTTTATAGCGATATCCGATAAGGGTTTGTTGTTTTATATTAAACCTCACACAAGTAAAATGCTTAACAAAAGAAGAAAACAAAAAAGGGACGAAAAAATAAATAGAAAAAAAAATAACGATGCCTAATATAGCGCTAAATAAAATTTCCCGAAAATTTTACCAAAAAAAAAAAAAAACTACAATAATTCTGCAGGGCATGGATAAACAAAGAAAAGTGAGATCTTTACCAGATGCAACTTCTGCTTTTCCTGGGTCTGAACAGCTCTTAAAAGTTGAGCTAAATCACCACGACAGTAATCGGGATTCAGAAATAAGGATTCAATTTCAAGAACCTAAACTCCAAAACAGAAATCCGGATAAATTTCGATACAAAGGAGCCCAAAAATTAAAAAATTTAATAATAAAAATTTGGAAACAATTAGATACCAACTTGTTTTGAGCAATCACTGAACTCGAGTGTAATTTCGCTGCAGAGTTGCTGGTACGCCAATTCCCCACCCGAAGCGACATACTCTTCAAATCCCCTTGCATAATCAGAAAATTAAGGGAAATTTATCATAATTTGGCGCAAAACCCTAATTTGCAAAATTGAAATATGCAAAAAGGAGAAACCATTTGAGCTTGGAATAAGCTTCAGCCCGGCGCTGCTGAATTGCAAGGAATCGACGAAGCAAAGCTACGACTTTTGAATTATTAGGGCTTCCTTCTTCCATCTCTGAAACTGAACAAGACTCCTCCTTTATTGATAACTTCTTCTCAAATTCTTCCATATTTCATTTTACGCCGCTTTGCTTTTCCGATTTCTGTTATATTTTGCACACTTTTGTTTTGTTTTTGTTTTTGTTGGAAATGGAGGACTGTTTGTTTGTTTTTAGACTAATTTGCATAGATGACCCCAAAACTATTTACTAATTAACATTGTGGTACCTAATATTTTAATTTTGACGAGACAACCCCACTCTCTTTAAATAATGGAAATTCTTTGCTTTATATGCCGTAACTACCTCATTCGTAATACGTGTGACTAGATATTAAAAAGTGATAGTTAGGTTATTAAGGTCTTGTTCAGTCGATTTAAATTTTTAAAATTAAATTTTTATAGTTAAAATTTTTCATAAAATGTCACGTTTAATTTTTTTTATTATAATTAAAAACTCTAAAAAAATGTCACATCTCAACTCGAATTGAAAATTTGAATCTGCGAAACGAACGAGACCTAAATACGTAAAGGACTAAAAGTTAATGATTCAGTCTGTCTCACGGCTAATTCGGTCTCTACTTTTCAAGTAGATGGCAGAATATAGTTGTGACTAGATACTTCTAGATCATGCTTATTTGGAGATGGCTGAAGATATTGATAAAGCAGTAGTTAATGTTGCTTCGAGAAAAGCTTTATTGGGGCTAACTTCTTAATTTTTTAGATTTGTACCACAAATCAAGGAGGCTTTCCAGGCTATTCAACGTTGTAAAGCTGCAAAAGTTTTTTATATTGTGGCAAAAGAAATATGGAAAGCTCAACCAAGAAAATATGTTCTGCTTAATTTTTGGAAGATGCAGGTAGAATTGATGCCTCTCGTGAGATCGATCCACGTGACGGTGTTCATTAACATGTAAACAACTTGCTATTTTTGTGGATTTTTATTATAAGAATAAAGGAACAATTATTTTGATTGATTAATAATACTGCAACTTTTTATGGAGCTAATTTAGCGTTAATCAGAGGTGGTGTTTAAAATGAGTGGAGTTCTTTATATAGGATTTATTGGGTAGGGATGCACTATATTATTATGATACCGATCACTCTTTCTCGTAATTTATTCAAAAATTTAAAAAAGAAAATCCCAATATATGGAAGGATTTTAGGAGGGAATCCACACCATGACACCAAGTTACAATGGAAAAAAAAGCAATAAATCAGATTACATGTCTAATTTTTAGTGTTAGCTAGGTATCATTTAGAACACTAATTGTGCGTTTGGTTAGTGGATTCGTGTTATAGTTCGGATCATGGTTCGTGACTCACTACAATATTTTTTCTCATAAAAAAAAACACATAAATTGAGAATAATTCTGAATCTATGAACCAAACGTCCACTAAAATTGAACAAGTGTCTTAATCCGAATTGCTTTATACCTTTCCTCCCCTCATACTTTATTTGTCACCGTACTTTATTTGATATATTTTTAGTATAATAAATCACGTCATTTACTTATATTGATCATGGCTTTAATAAAGTTTGTTTAGGTTTTTACTAGAAAAATAATTAAATCGAACAGTAAATTATTTTTGTACTTTTAGTTCCAATACTAATGTACCAATGGTGTAAATTTTATATAGTACCCCGTCGTGCTTTTCTATTTCATTTTTCATAATCAAAGATTTTTTTTTTTTTTCAATGAAAGATCCTGGATATATAGTCGATTCGATTATACCTTATAGCTCAGAAAAGGTTTGAAGTACTAGCCTTTAATATGAATTTCCAAAAAGTTGGATCACCACTTCAAACGGCACTTCATTAATTATTTTTTTTAGGGTAGTACTTTAATTAATTTAATATATGCTTTGTATATATAGTTGACATTTATTGAATCAAGAGAAGGGGTGGTTTTAGAATTATAATTTGAGCTAGTTTAAAACATCACATCAGATTTTGAATCATGATTCAGAATCATCCAAACCAAACACTGATTCTGAATCATGATTTAAAATCACTGTAAACAAACACTGATTCTGAACCAGGATCCCGAATCATAATTCTAGATCTATCTACTAAACGCATTATTGAAACCCAATTGAAAATATTAAAAGCCTGAGAGTGATACTATTTTTCACTTCACTAGTGTTTCTCATATCTAAATAAAAAAATAAATAAATTTAGCGTATATTTTGTTGAAAATGTATTTATATAAATGTCTATATAAGTATAGAAACTAGAGGGGGAGGGGGTTCGAGGGAGTATGATAATTATGATTAAATAAACATAATAACAAACCGGAGATTTATATTGTGACGACCCTTCTGGATGGCCGTCACCGTATACTTATTGAAATTTCTTAAAATTTACGGAACATTTTTTTTTTAAATATAAGAAGGAATAATTTCATAATTCGTAACAATAATTTCAAAAGAATGAATTACTAAATTTCTTAAATATTTTCTTAATTTCAACTAAGATAAAACTTTTTAGAAATATCCTTCAAACTGAGCAACGTTTGAACTCTTGTTTGAAATAGCCAATTCAATAAGGCCATCTAATTTGACTTTAAAATGGATTTCGTGAGAAATCTTAAATTCAAGTACATTTTAAAGTCATTTTAAAATCAATCATTTAAATCGTCATGTTTAAAATTCATTTATTTATTGCATGCACTGTTGCAACGTTCTAAAACTTAAATACTCAATACTAGGGTTGTTAGCTACAACCTCGGTTTTCTTAACATACATATGTACATATACTTTTCAAATATACATTCTTGAAACCTTTGAATCATATATACATATACATGATTTTACTTAAACTTACTGCGGAAGATTTAAGTGTGAGCGGTATCCATTCCCATCCCCCCCATTCACCCGCCGCCTGCCATTGCCCTTCTAGAATTGCTGATAGGTTTCTTACCTACAGCATGAACATATCTGATTGAGCTTTCGCTCAGCAAGTAGGAATTGTCTCTCGCAAAATAATTGTAACTACACATGAATAAATATGCATGAGCTGATTATGCTTAATTATGATGTCTTATTATAGTCTTATTATCTTATCTTATTTTTCTTACTGATGGGCCCGAGTGCTCGTACCACTTGCGTGCAATCATCGGGACGTGAGGGTTTGCAAGGTCCCCCATGACACCGTGATTATAACTGAATTGAATGCCTCCCTCTCAGAGGACATTATTATATTTTTTTTTCTTCTCTCTTGGGAGCCTGAGTCACCTCCCTCTCAGAGGCTGGTACGACACTCAATTGAGATTATTCTTATAAATTTTTCTTGACTTATTAAGGTGTATGCAATATGACATAGCATAGCATACTATAACATGGAATGTACTCAAACACATATAATTCATGTGCACTGCTTAAGTGTATGCAGTATGATCTATCATAGCATACATAATATTAAATTAACTCAAACACATATAATTCATGTGCACTGTTTATGTGTATGCAGCATGACATAGCATCACATACAATACTTAAAGCATAAACATGCATATATAACATGTGTAACTTTTTCTTTAAAATCTATTCATACTATAGGGGAGATTCTTACTTACCTGATTTACAGAGCTGGAATCCACTTTTCACCAAACAACCTATTCTCTTACTTGCTTACTTCTGAAAATGAACACCCATTGAGTGTGTGAGATTATCTGTCGTTTGCTATTCTATTTTAACAGCTTATGAAGGAAATCTAGCCCTTTACTTAAGGCATGTATTCCTTTCCTTTACTGAAGGATAATTTACTATAAGGATCAATTTATTAAATCCTCAAAATCTTATTTTCCTTAATTGCCCTTAACATACTTATGTCTAGATTGAAAATCATTTACCCAATCTAGTAACTTATTCTCCACAATTTTTCTCATTGGACTTATTATGATATAAAGGCCCAATTCGGCCTAGAACTTATTCACAGCATTCTAACTCTTAGGCCATTGAAATTTAAACTCAAACGGGGACTCTTGAATTAAATGCGGGTGTTGGACCCAATCCAATCTTCAAAATTTTAAGGGCCTATCGTATTGGGCTCGTAGGTGCCCGTTGGGATAATTTGCTCGATAAGCCACTAAGTTCTTTAAAAGAAATCTTTTTTTTTAAACTCTTTCTTTACGAATACTTCTATTAAAACGGGCTTTAACACCATAGTATTTTACTGAAATCAAATCTCAGGTTCTTTGATAACTTTTTGTTAAAACCAACACTGTGTTAGTTTTGTTTAGTTAAAACTGTATAGTTTTTGAAATCTGTATTTTACTACATCTTAGGGCCGGATTTTGAAAATCTGTTCTTCATGATAATTCTTCACCTCATCAAGATCTAAAATTGTCATTTTTAGAGAAAACTGAAATTCAGCCTGTAAAGGCCTCATTTGGCTAAAAACATTGGCTGCTATTTTTTTTTTCGAGACTGTGTTGGACAACATGTTCCGTTTTTGCAAAATGGCTTAAAACTTGCATTTGGAGTCAAAACTGAGTTTTGTCACAGTCACAGAAAACGTTCAAAATATCGAGAACTATAAGTTTACACTTTGAAACACTGAAAAATCCCGCTCTAGGGTCCTCATTTTCGCGTTCAACGTAACCAGAAAATTTTACCTCTAACCAAAAATAAGTAAACTTCAACCAAGTATAAACATACCAGATATTGCTAATCAAACTAACCTCAAAACTCATAAAACTAACATAAAACTCACACACCCTTATTACAACTTATCTTCTCAAGAACCACAAATTACATCCATACTTTCAAGCTCAAAGTTGGCTAGACAATTAATGGAGAAAAGTTTAAGAAATTACCCTTGAAGAACTCTCTCTCTTGAAAACCTTTGAACTCCTCTAAGATTTGTTAATGGCTTGGAACTAGAAGAGTATGAGAAAATTTGAGAAGAATATTTCTACATCTCAACTTTACTAGAACATAAGAAAGAGAGATTTAGAGTTTATACTCTTGTAGAGATGCTTAACTAGACTCCTCCTAGAAACCTTTGATCTTCTTCTTCTTCTTCTATTGTTTGCTAGTGGTTTAAGGTTAGGAGAATGAGATAAAATTTTTGAGAGGGAATGGGTGTAGTGTGGCCGGTTTTGGGGTGGAGAGAAAATGAGAAGAGTAAAAAAAATGAGGCCTAGCTTATGATGGCTCCTTTTATAGACAAGTTGGTAGTCATTTTTTTTAACACCAAATCCACTCCAATAATTCAACTAGATTTTGAGTTCCAATCTCCCAAGCATGGCCGGTTCTAGGTGGAGAAAATAAGGAGCAAGTATGCCATGATTTTCCCTTCAACCACTACTATCACATCCCACCTTAACATGAAACCCTCTAGCACACTCAACTACCCAAAATTTGGCTATCATTTCACTATGCATGGCCGGCCAAGTGGAGAAGGAGAGAGGAAAAAATATTACCTACCCCTTGTACTTTTGTCAACTCTCTTAAGTTTCCTTTGAAATTGTTAAAAATTATACTGACTGTAAGGAAGTACTTAGCCGATAGGAAATTCTAGTTTCTGACGGTTCCTTTTCTACTGCTTATTTACAGTTCAATATTAATCCCTGACTACTTCGATATCACGTTAAATTCTTATTCGCATAATATTTCGAACTGTTTCAGGTCTTGAAATTTATTCCAGACTAAACAAATTCTAAACTTAAATTTCTGCATTATATCCCGAGAATGACATTGTTTTCCCGAGCTCACATTGTACCCTTCTACTATAGGTATTTATCTTGTGACTTTAACCTAGCTGTCTGGCAATTAAGGATTTTCTCTTCTTTTAAAATGTCAGAGCGTTTTTTTTATATGCTGCTAACATCATGTTGTGCTTGGAGATTCTTAGAATTAAGATTCTCAAACTACAAATGTACTAAAAATTCTTATGCCTTAAAGTACGACGAGAATTTATCAATCGAATTTACTTGATCAAAAAACATGAACTTAGCATGAAATCTGCTACAGAATTTAAGAATACAGATGTTAATTCCATAAATCCTTCAGTCACAAAATATAGCATAATATTTTTTAGAAAAATCATCGGCTTAAATACATAAATTGTATTATTTAAAGTCTGAGATTTTCTCAGTCATTATATATATTCTCCTTTCACTTCCCTAGATATGGTATTTGTTATACATTAAAATAATCAATCAGTCCTTAGTTTTGTGTATCTCTCTATGCACCCTTTAAATTTTCATATGTAACACAGGACATATATTTGTCTCTGTGGTATAGGGGGTGAATAAGACCCCAAATGCTTGCAACCCTCATGAGCCTTGTCTGCACAAATTTGGACTGTTGTAGGAGGTGATAATGGAGGAGGAAATAGAGGAGGAGATTGGTTTTGAGCAAAAGCAATAATATTTCCGTATAGAATAGCCAGGATAAGCATTATTCTTGATAGCATAGTTGTCCCAAGAACAATTTCTCTAATGTGATTTTTACCCATTTATAACTTCCCCAACCTTTTATATGTTATATATATATAGCCGATTTTTTGACTGTGTTTGGAATTGATTCCGTTTTTATTTTTCACATTTTTTGATAAAGAAAAAATGAAAACGTTTTCAAAACGACGTTTGGCGCAATAAAGATAAAAAACAGAAATGAAAATGATTTTTTGGTTTAGTGTAAAATGAGAGAGAAATGAAAAATGACTTTTAGATGTTTTTTATTTTTTATTTTCGTTTTCTCCTCTCTCGAACATAGAGAGACAAAGAGAGACATTAATGAGGTTTTTTACATTGAAAATAATTTCTAAATAAAACTACCAAATGCATTTTTAAAAATGATTTATGTCTGAAATTGAAAACTTTTTCATTTTTATTTTCATATAAAAAATAAATCATTTTAAAAAGAGTTCTAAATGCGCCATTTGTTTTCCCTTATGACGTTTACTACTATTCAAGTAAATATGTTTCTTTTAAAAAAAAATATTTTTTAACGACTTTGTTGGGCACCACAAGTTTGCCACCACAAGTTTGCCAAGAGTCGTATAATTTGTGAGCTTGAGATTATAAAGTTAAATTACTTAAATTTATCTACTTCCTGGTGATTTATACACCATTTTATTCTTTAAATTAATATTTATTAACGAGCAAAACTCTTTACTTTTTCTTGCTTATTTTACTTTGATGGAGATAACTTTTTTAATTTTGATCAGGGCATATCTTGAATACTTTTTTATGTTTTCTCTTAGACCCCATGATTTTCACTTTTTATTTGATCAATTAGAAAGTGTCCAACACAAACACAAGTTATTAGCGTCCTTCGTCAGAAAGAGTAGAATGTTTAAATTATTTGTTTTTCCCACACCAATGTGACATATTTAGAACGACCATTTTAAACTAATTTAATTTCACTACGCTAATTATATTAGCAAGAGTCATGGATTATGATTTGTCCTTAAAGTACATTTACTTGGTAAGAGAATTTGGTTATAATGAACAGAAATTGGTTATACTGAAATTAGAGAAATATAAATTGAATACAATTATACGAACAAAACGCAAAACAAAAATTGAACGAGATTTTGAAACGGAACTGTCAAAATACTGATGCCATCTTTATTCATACGGTGTCTTTAAAACAGATTCACTCTCTCATCATAATGCATGAATTATTAAAATAATTGTCTTTCAGAATACAACGCGGCGGCGAAAGAATAAAGATGGCACACCACAAGACTACTCTAATGGCGAATTGTTATATTACAAAACTCGATCACACTGGAACCTAAGAACTCTAGAGCAAATTTTTGAAAGAAGATAAGAAGAGCTCGGAATTTTTCTAGGGCAAATTTTTGAAAGAAGATAAGAAGAGCTCGGAATTTTTCTAGAGTCGAACTCTGACGGAGACTATGACATCAATTCACAATTAATTTTGAAATTAATGTAAATTAATTCCCTAACTGTTACAAAGCCTTTTAATTCTCATAATTAATTCGCGACTTAATTACAAAATATAAAACGTTACAATATGCGCTTTAGATATCAATTTTTCATTCATCCAAACATCATTTTAAATATACGACTGTATTAATTTGAGTATATAATTTATTAATTAAAATTGATTAATTACTAATTATTTTCGATTCATTATTAACTGATATTAATGGATGAAAAATCATCGAGTTAATCAATAAAAAACTTAAGTCAATTAGTAATTGACAGCTATATAGACTAGTCAATTATAGTTGACTATTAAGTTAATCAGTGATTGATTACCAAAGCCACAATCGTTTCGTTAGTTCGAATAACAACTCAAGTTTTTGTTATAATGTTTTTTCTTATAAAAATTTAAATTCAACGTTTTCTCTTATTATATTTTATCTCAAATGAATTCATTTTTTAACTCAAATTCTCAACTTAAAAAAGCAAAACAGATGGAAATGAGGATGTTTGGTTGGAGGATTCAAACTATGATTGTAATCATGGTTTATGGTTCGCTACAGTATTTTCTCTCATAAAAAATACACGTAAATAAAAAATAATTTTAATTCATGAACCAAACGTCTCATAAAAGTTAATCAAAGAAATGGTTATTTTGTTAATTTTACAAAATCTTGTTATTTTTCTAGAAAATCGTTTGAAAATAAATAAAAGGGGTCATTTTGCTATTTTGATTTTCTGACACATTTCTTACTGTTCTCGAATACGGAAGGAGGCCCTCCCTCCCCGGCTGGTCAATGCTCACACGGTCACACCCGAAAAAACAAAACAACAGACAAAACTGAAGAAGAAGAATATGATCAGAATTTAGCAACAAACAATCTCACAACAAAACCCACCAGACTCTCAATGGCTGGAAACTTCCTCCCGGCGGCGGAAGTCACCGCGAGCGGCCGACCGGTGCTCCTGCCAAACGAGATCGAGTGCTTTCTCCTCTCCTCCGTCGACCTCGAATGCGACGAGCTTCCAAATTTCCCCACCCTCCGTTCGGGCCTCCTCTCCCTCACCACTCACCGCCTCCTATGGCTCCCCGAATCCACCACCGCCTCCGCCTCGGCGATCCCTCTCGCCGCAGTCACTCACATCTTCTCTCCCAAGAAATCCTTCCGCTCCATGTTCGCCTCTCCAAGAATCCGCTGCCAAATCTCCGTCTCGCCCGAGGGCGGGTTAATCGCTTCGGCCTCGGCCTCGGGTTCGAGATCGGTGGTGGTGACGATGGTGGTGCGGGGGAAGGGCGATTGCGACGCCTTCTTGGCCAAGCTCTGGGAGAGCTGGAGAGGTAGGGCTTGGGAGAGTGAGGTTGCGGCTTCGAGTGATCAATCCGGCTCGGGCTCGGGCTCGGGCTTGGTCTCGGCTTCGGGAGGGTTGTATAGGAGCGACGGGACGCTGAGGATGGTTGGGGTTTCGGGGATATTGAGGAAAGAGCAGGAGATGTGGGAGAGCACTGATAAGAGCTTGCAGGATGCTTTCCAAGATTTGAATGCTCTTATGGTAATTTGTTTAATACTGTCTTTCTTTTTGCTTAATTGGTGTAATACTGTCTTTCTTTTTGCTTAATTTGTTTCTCTTAATAATCTCATCGTTCACGTGTTTATATATACTGACAATTATTTAGCTTCTTTGGGTCATTTTCAGTGGCTTCATCAATTATGCATTTTGTTATTTTGGGACTTTTGTATTTGCTATTTCTGATTGTTTTATGTTCTTCAGCTTTTAGCTATGTGTGTTGTTTTCTCATGAATGCAGCAGTTATGTTTATAGCCAAGTTTGTTTTAGCTATGTATATGCTAATGCTATGCTCTGTGATATATGCAGTTTTTCGTCTTAAAAAAAATGAGAATATAGAAACAGGATTTAAGAATTTTTTGGCCCTTCATGTAATGTTAATGCAGCAAATAATTACCATGTTGTTGCTAGTTTTTTTTTTTTTTTTTTTTTTCCCAGTTTAGCAGTTGCTAAGGTTTTATGTCAACATTTTGTTGCAGAGTAAGGCCAAAGAGATGGTGATGCTTGCAGAGAAAATGAGGCAAAAACTCTTGTCCGGCACGAATTCTCAAACCGGTGCAGATGATGAGGAAATGGGTTCCAAACAAGAGATGCAAGATTGGTTGTTGAGTGTTGGTATTTTATCTCCTGTTACCAAAGAGTCTGCAGGTGCTCTGTACCACCAACAATTGTCCCGTCAGGTTGCCTACACTCCTTATTCTATGTAATTAGACACATCTTTATTGGTAACTTTTTCTCATCACTTTTTTAATTAGAAACGGAGACATTACTAGTAGAGCAGATAGATTTAGAACGTTAATGATGCCGGAGGAAAAGTTCTCCAAAATAGAAGAAAAAAAGTATCATGTTTCTGTTCATCCCCAGAACCCAGAAACAACTACTTTTTGAAAGCAACGACCTGCAATGATAAAGGAAAAACCAAGAAGAAGTGAGCTTTCTTGAAAACTCAAAGGAAACCAGCTTCATTCAGCAGTTAATATGATAAGTTTCTAGCCACAGAACAATGTAAAAAACAAATGTTCAATTGTTTCCCCTTCTTATTGTTTAACCAAATAGATTTTAAGATAAGACGAGCAAAGGCTTATCGTTCTTGAATATTCGAGTTTTGGTGCCTGGTACCCATAGATAGTTTGAAATGTAGAATAATTTTTATTAATCTTAGCCTGAGTGGTTTTTGGAGTTGTCAATCCCTCCCACTGGTTCGCTCAACAACTCAGAATTGCACACACTTGTAGCTTGTGCCATAATATATGTACTGGTTTCTCATTTGTAGATTCTCTTAGTGAGGGGAGAAGCAGTAGCTAACACATAATGCTGTTGATTAGTGTTGTGGTCTTGGTAATGTTGGTATTGTTTAATAACAACAACAACAACAACAACAAATACAAGCCTTAATCCCAAATGTTGGTATTGTTTAACATTAATTTAAAATTTACTTTGCTTAGAATGAAGCTATATCATTCTTTTTGTCATTCAGTTGGCAGATTTTGTCAAAATTCCGCTTGAGAGGGCTGGAGGAATGATTAATCTTATAGATATCTATTGTCTCTTCAATCGCGCTAGAGGCACAGGTTTTGTATTAATATCCTCTGTTTTATATTATTTGCAAGTCTAACTTTTAGTATGAGATGTTGATCTCTTTTCAGCATGCGTAGAAGGTGAAAACATTGTTTCTTCTCTTCCTGTAACACAGAACTGATATCACCAGACGATTTACTGCAAGCATGTATGCTTTGGGAGAAGTTTGATGTGTATGTGTGGTATTCAACTAATTTATGTAAAATCATTGTCACCTCTCTACAATTTAAGAGCATAATATGAATTATAATTAATTTCACTAGTGGCTCTCGAACTTTAACAGATGTCTCATTTCTGTCTCCTAACTTCAGATTGAACATTTTGGTTCATAATTACCACATCATCCATTAAATTAAAATAAAGGGTCACATAAGTGTTATGTGCCCTTTTCTGAGGATGAAAAAGTTCATAGTTAAGGGAATAAAATGAGATTCTTATAAAAGTTCTGGAACCATTAGTTACACTTATGTAAGCATTTTTGTCAAACTTTTTAACGTAATTTAGTTTGAGGACCAACTAGAAACAACTACATAAGTTTGGGAACCAAAATGTTTGATTTTAAAACTTCTGAAATGTTTTGAGTCAGAAAAAGTCAATGACCACTGATGAAATCACTTTTATGAATTTTTTATTTTATTTTTCTTATACAAGAGTCTAATCATGATATTATGTTATTCTGTGGTTGCAGACCTGTGATGCTTCGAAAGTTTGATAGTGGAGTCAGGGTCATCCAAAATAAGTCCCACAGTGATGAGGAGGTGCTTTTTTCTCTTATATTTACGAGTTATAACTGGATTCTTAATGTTTTGGTTATCCTGAGACTAGATTCTCCTTTTTTTCCCTTTTTTCTTGGAGTGGAATTGGGGGGGATACATTTTCCCAAAAAAAAAAAAAGAAAAAAAAAAAGAAAAAGTGGGGAATGGATATGCATGTAGGCTTCCTTGTTTTCCACGTTTGATATGGTGGAATGGGTCAGCAGGTTACTGCCTCTACTGTGCTTTTAAACATTTTCATAAAGAAAAACAAAATGAAAGCATGTTTTTTGTTTCGTGTTTTAAACAGAAAACAGAACTAATTAATATTGGTTGTTGGCTCTTAAAACTCTCTTAGGGAACAAAGAAACACTTTCAGTTTCAATAGTTTGTGTTCTCCAGATGAGTAGGGAAGAGAGAAACAAAAGGCATCGTTTTTCCCTGAATTCAATCTTATCTATTGAAACTTTTTTGAAAACTTATTTTGTAGTGTGCTCTTTTGCTGTACTTTATTTTTTCACCATGTGCCCAATGGAAAGGTTTTGTGCACATGTCCTTATCTTGACACGCTCTGAAATAAGTCTGTTCCGAGTTCAAGAAAATACTTCGAAGGGATCTTTGAATATGGAACAGGGTTGCGATTTAGATAACTAGATATCCTTCTGAGTAAAAGTGAAACAAAAAATGAAGTCACAATTTTCCAAGGCAAAAATATTCTGTAAGCCTGCAGTTTTTGTTTCTTAATGGTCCAAATAGCAAGTCTGATGGAGATCTCTTTAGGTTTCCAGTTATGATTACATGTTTCCATAATCATTGTTCTGTTGTAGTGCCTATACATCTTTATTGCATAAAGGCAATTCTTATAATTTGTCTATGTACTCATTTTCCTCGGTGGGAAAGTGGGAAAGTAAGGTAGATGAGAAGTTTGTCTTCTCTCTTCAAGTTTTTCCCTTTTCTTTTGAGCCATCATAAGTATGCTGCCAATTTGAGATAAGGTATCAGGTGGCCCAAGCAAATCAGCGTAAGCCATGCCATCTTGGAGATGCCAAATGTTGCAATATTTATTTTTCCATCATAGATATATGTTATTCTATCTTTGGAAATTCTACAGAAACGATATCAAGTTATGTTATAACAGCTAGTTAGTTTGTCCGCAGGTTTTTGCTAGAATCAAGACCCTCACAACAAAACCTGATGCTCTTCGAACTGGGATAAGCGCCAGCGATGCTGCAATGACATTAGGGATTGCACCAGCAATGGCCAAGGAACAGCTTCTTACTGCTGAAAGTAAAGGTAAGCTGTTGTGCAGCTTCTATTTGGAATATATTATTGTTGAAAAATAGAAATTAATATTGAACGTGTATTCAGGTCTGCTGTGCAGAGATGTAAGCCCCGATGGCTTTCGATTTTATATAAATCTGTACTACGAACTTGATCCAAATGACATCTACTTGTGAGTAAACATTTCTGATTTTCCGTACTTGTTTGGTATTGTGGTCTTGCTCTTTCTCTCTCGATTTAAACTGCATCAATTTTTAACTATCGTCAACTGACATTGTATCTGGACAGAGCGAAGGATTATGGGGTCTATGCAACCTGGATAAAGGCAGCCCTGGCTTCTAGATAAGAGTTGGTTTATCCGTTGGTCTTTTTCATAAGGCTGAATATAACTCCCACAAAATACCTCAAACGCAGCCAGTCTACCCGTAAGTTTCTTTCTTCAATCTTCTCGGTTGGGGCGCCATTTTATGTCGAGACTCGACCAATTTGCGCACAATCAAAACTCCAGTGCTAAAAGATTCCAATTTTCTTGCAGCTTCTGGATTTCCAAAGCTAGTGTTTCTTCCTTTCGTGACTTTTAGCCTGCTGCAAGTACATGTCAATTTGCAGTTGAAGAAACTTGGGCAAACTTTTTTCCATATTTTTCTGCGGAGAGGTTTTGGCCCAATGTATATGTATTATCTCGATTTAATGGTCGTAACAATAAGAAAGGTAATGGCGGGCTAATGATTATAGCAATTTTGACATAATTCGTTAAGGTGTTTCGGTGACAAACGGTATAAAGAAGGTTTGTAGAGTATTGATATTTCGAGTAGTCAAAAATTGTTATCTTCTCGAACTATTGTTTTTAACATTTATGTTGCTTCCTATTCTCCGACCTTTTAACTATACGTTTGTGTCGCTTGATTATGCTTTGTTCGACCTTTCTTCTTCTTTTCTTTTTTTTTTTTTTTTTTTTTTTTTTTTTTTTTTTTTTTT